TGCACACGAACGATTGTCCTGCTCCAGCCCAGCATGCCCATCCTTCAACTTTCATGATCCAAGGGGATTTGACTGAAAAACGCTCAAACACAGAAGTATCATCCAATATGAGAAAAATCACTTTGCAAAGTTATTTGTAAACTGCCAGCTAGCAGCCCATTCCTCCCAACCACCTTTGTTGCCCAATACAATGCATACAAGCGATTGTCCTGCTCCCGCCCAGCATACCCATCATTTAACTTTCTTGATTCGAGGGGATTTGACTGAAAAACGCTCAAGCACAGAAGCATCATCCAACAACAGACAGTAAGTTAATTTCCACTTCTTCCACTCGCCAACTTATTACCTCTTCCTCCATTCTCAACTGTTGCCCCATTCAAGTATACAACTACCACCTGCGAACGATTGTCCTGCTTCAACCCATCATGTCAATCCTACAACTGCCTTGATCCGATTGTCTTTGATTACATGGCAAGTGCATGGCGTGTACACCCCACTACAACACGCGCCTTCTTGAAAGTACATTCTCTTGCACATTCCTCTGCCACAACCAATCGTAACAGCAGCTGCCATTAGCAAGGCCTTCACTCCATTGTCTCAAACAGCGTTCACAACCTTGTCGTCTACTACAACACACGCTTTATTGCACACTCCTCTGTCAGAACCAAACGCAACAGCTACTGCTGCTAATTGTCAAGGTCTTTTACTTCATTGTCTCAGTCTACTTGCAGCAACATGTCTTGCAGCCTTTTTTACATGAACAGCGGATAGCCACTGTATAGAAGCAGCGTGATCTACGTACAGCAACTTGCTTTGATACATACGGGTGCCAATGGATGATGCCATATCAGCTATCATGTACGCCGCAATACAACAACTTTCGCCTGGGTGAGCAGTGATGGGGGGATGAATTGGCAAGGGATGGATCAACAGCCGGATGGAAAAGGAAGGATGCAGCGATCACATGGCTCTTTTCAACCAACGTTTTGGAGTTGCAATGGTTATGGAATATGGATGGAGGGATGCAGTCAAGTACTGTGATGGTGAACCATGGAATGTTGCTTTGGCTACTTGACGCGTCGTCAGCAGGAATAGCGGATCCTATCACGTGGATATGGCTAAGGATGATGATGGATTGGATGGAGTTGACAAAAGGGCTTACGATGTTATACAGCCATGGATGGATGATATTGGAGTACTCGATTCAATGCATGCAGCGGCTATTTTGCAATCATGGATGAAGGACGATTATGATGGCAGCAACCATGAATGCAATGACACCATTATCCCTGTCGCTTCTATGTGATTCATCCGTAGCTTATTCAATTTGCAATGCTGTTCCTTTACCAGATGTACTTGATAGACACCCATACTACTAGATACTATTCTTCAACTTTGTCATTGAATGAAAATTGGATTGAACATACTATCTGGAATACCATGCCATCATCTCGTATGGGCAAGATGTGGACCACTTGGTTGGTTTCTGGTTTGAAACAGGGGATAGAAATAGAAGGTTGGAAAGCGAGGTTGGATCATTTACATCGTCTTATCGCGATGCTTTTGTTCTTTTGCCACAACCTTTTATGACTTCACTAAAGCTTTCTAGTTCACATGCTGATAATAAACACTAATGCTTATATTGCAAAGATAACTAATTTGAGAGTGATGATGCCCGACATTTGCTTGTTACAGGGCATGGTGTTCATTGTGAACTTAATGCTTTATATCCAAGGAAGAATGAACTGCTATACAATATGCCACAAGCACATGAACAAGCCATGCTTATCTATGACAGCTTTCAGCTAACGCTACCGCATGCATCCTTATCTAAGAGCGAACCATTCTATACATACGAGCTATCACAGGCGGACCTCACTATGGGAAGGTAGGGGAAGGATCAATCATGCATTTCTTGACCAATAAGATTGACCCTTCGAGTCTGGCTCAGTTACACAAACACGTCCCTGTGCGTCGTTTGCTCTCTCAGGTTCTGGCTACTTCCCAATGAACAAAGTCCACTTCTCATATAGCATCACGCTTACAAAAATAAACGTGCCTGTATCTCCGAACTTTACAATGAAACATAGGGTTTTTATTAGAGCAATGGGCTCGGCTTGGCCAACTGCACCTTGTGTGCCAGTTTCACGATCAAGCTGGCCAATCCCAGATTTCGCAATGTCGCCACCAGCCAAACTGGATCCAGGGGTCGACCTCTTCGACGACGACGACCAAAAAATATTCTTTGGGCTGTTTGCGACATCCAACGCGAAACTTTCACACAAGGTGCTGTTGGCCAAGCCGAGCACGTTGCTCTATTAAAAACCCCATGTTTCATTGTAAAGTTTGGAGATACTGGCACCTTTATGTTTTCATTATGTTGTAAGCGTGATGGAGTTGCTTTTTCCTAGTGGATGGTGTCGGCTGCATTAACTGAAAGATGAAGAGCTGAGTGAAACCGCACGTGGTGGTTACACAGACACGTCCTTGACAGGTTGCTACACAAATGGATGATGATGATGATTGCCTTTTGCGAAGGTACGTAAGTAAACAGCATCCAATAATGAAGGTGTGTCAAGGTATGCATCACATTTGCATGTAGAAGAAAGTCGAGCTGCATAAACCAATTTGTATATGTAAAAAGATACATATACATATTGAATGAGTCACTCATCCTGAAACTCAATGGAGGGATCTGTTCGCTTTTTCTCTTCTCAAGCTCATCCCACTTCCCACTCCTCCTTATTGTATCACAAAAGCCATGTGCTTCTTGCATGACCGATAACCGGACCACCTTTATTATTCCATCTTCGAAGCAATAGTATGTAATCCACAAGCTAGCAACCTCCAACAAGCGTGTAATAAATAAACAATGCTTTATTTCATCTAGCTATCTTGCCATGTACTGTACATTGCCACCACCATCGTCGTAGTCGTCCTCCGTCATCATTCGTACTCGTACTCGTCACCAGTCGTCAATCTCATCCGTCACACCAACATCCAAAAGTACACAAGTTGAAAAGAATGGGATCTTGCAGGCTTCCTTTTGAATCTCGTTGTCGTCATCATTGTCATTGTTGTGAATGTCGTTATCATCGTAATCGCCATTGTTGTGTATGTGTAATCGTCGTAATCGTTGTCTCTATAAATAAGAAAGCAAGCAAGTTAGACCATCTGGTACCGGAATGATGACGATTTGGTATACCTTTAGGCGATCCTCTCAAAGAAGAAAGCAAATCAGAAGGAATTCACAAACCAAATCACCACCATACGAGCAACGTCGGGCGATCCCTTGTTCTTGAGAAAGCACTGCACGAATCACGCAAGGACAGTTCGATCCATGGCAAGGAAGGACATCACTTACGTAGAATCCAGGCTCATAGTTGTTCTCATTCATCCTCTCCAAAGAAAGAATGATCCCCAATCCTTCCAATCATTTCCCACCTCATGAAAAGAAATCCTCAAGGGAAAGAACGAGCCTATCACGAGAAGAGCGTGTTGGTTAAACACATTCACAAGCTGTTGCAAATCCTCTTTTACCTCAACACGGTGACCATGCTCTTCCAAAAATCCATCGTAATCGACCCATCCTCAACTCAACGCAGGCCTATAGACCCCTGGACGCGTTCCAAGAAGCTTTTCCAACACACTTGGCTAGTGCAGAGCGACGCAGCGACCACTTGATACAGGCTGGGACTTGAACCCAAAGAGATGATGATGATGCCCCCAAGTTGCATTGCCTGACCAAAGAAATCTATTCAATTCATTATTAGCACACACAATGAACACCCTTTTCACTGTTTGTTTCATTGTACTTGCCTTTTCCATATACACAAAGACCCGTTGTTGTTGGTTACTGGAAACCGAAAACCATGGTGTAGTAGTGTAGTTGAGCCGAAACAAAACGCCAAACGAGCCAACGTCTTGAAACCAAACTTGCCCTCTATGCAAGCTAACACGTCAATGGAACAAGTTGTGCTGCAACATTGGACTCTGAATGTACCTGTTGACACCAAGCGTAAGGCGGGAATAGCAACGAACAAGAGGAAGCAACGGTATCGCCATGGCAACCACCAACCACCCACCACGCTCATTCCTCGGCACTTTGGACACACTCACTACCTGATAATGCACGTTCACAACTATATTAATACCTCACAACCAACAAGAGCACTGTTTTATAACACATTACCTTGATCGCAATGCCGTGAATGGGATAAAAGCAGAGGAGGGAGAAAAAGAAGAGAAGCGTTGTCTCAAGTCGTGGAGGTGCTGTCCCCAAGTTTAAATCCCCTACTGCTATTACACTGAGGCCACTCAACTACCCTATAGGCCACTCAATTACCCTATACACACCATCCACCCATCACGATCATCACCCTCACGATAGACAATAGGTACACGTAAATAAAAGAAATGATGATCCTCACGTATAGCAAAAGGGTGTGTGTCATTTTACACTTTATATGATAATGATGATCCAACAACAGCCATTGCTTTACTACCAAGTCCCCGAGCATCTATCTTTTTTACTCGTCCCAGTCCGAAGCATGCTTTTCCTAGTATGCTCGATGTTGTCCTTAACAAAAAAAGGCCTTCACTTTGCATACATGCATCAATCACCCTCCCACCATGGGGCAGATAGGATGTTCTTGTGTGTGTTAAGCATATACCAGAAAAAAGTTGCTTCATTGTACTTTTAGAATAGCCCATCTATAAGTAAATTAGCCACTCGTAAGTATTCAAGTTCTTGTACATAGCTCACGTTTTGGAGGACACCGCTACAATTCACGCTTGACACATACAGCATCTTGCTCACTTGGTCCCGAAACTTACACATGCGTGTTCGGGTTGTCGCACGAACGACATCTGTGTAGGTCCCAGGACAACAATTTTGTCACATCCAAAACCAAAAGTATGTATCAAACATCCGACAAGGTATGCAAGTACCCTGACCACATAAACAACAACGCGTTTATATTTTCCAACACAACTTTTTCTCATCGCCTCTTTTTCTTCTTGATTGTGGTCTTTTGTCGTCCGTCTTGGATGGCGTTATTTTGTCGTCCGTCTTGGATGGCGTTTTTTGGTCGTCCGTCTTGGATGGCGTTTTTTGGTCGTCCGTCTTGGATGGCACTGGTCGTCCGTCTTGGATGACACTGGTCGTCCGTCTTGGATGACACTTGGTCGTCCGTCTTGGATGACACTTGGTCGTCCGTCTTGGATGACACTTGGTCGTCCGTCTTGGATGACATTTTTGGTCGTTCAGCCTGAATGACATTCCTTTTGGATGTGGATTGCCAATCACCTCCTCGTGGTCACATCTGGGCAACTGTTCTTTGGACGGGCTAAGTATTGGCACTATGCTAGTGTTTTCAACGTTTACACAATCCTTCTACGATGCTCCTTCATACATGTGCACCTTATTGGAATAAAGCTTATTTAGTCTTCATTGCTAACAGACTCTGGTATGCTTGTGGTTTAATATTGTACAATAACGATTCTATTAATATACAACGGAAAATTATGGCAAAGAACATGATGCCTAGCTAAATGATGATGGTTCATTGTTCTCAAACGATGCTATCTATGAAAAGTATTATCCCATAAGCAAAAGACTTGTCATGTGTCAGTATTACTACAAGTTTATTCTACTACAACGCCTCAAGATGTGGGTTTTATTGTGAAGGAAAGAGTAAATGGTAGGTTTATAACAGATCTTGTGGTGGTTCTTGAGTCTAATCATACCCATTTAGCAATGTAGTAGGAACAATGCACTCACTTATATATTACCTTTTGCAACTCTGCAAAGAGATTGGGATACTCTGCTGGATCAGCAAGGCTCTCTGCCGTCTTTTTACGGTTTCGCTTCTCGAGATCGGCTTTCCAGAGTTTGAGAACGGATGACATGCTATCTGGTGCATATGTTCTAGCCAACATGGCAGCTTCAGGTAGACGCTCGGTCTTGATAAGCAATTGAATAACCTCATCTACAGCACCAAGCTGGAACAAGGCTGTAAATGCAATGTTGTTCTTTCCTTTGGCCACTAATTTGTCCTAGAGTAAGCGTTGTAATCATAAAGATACCCACAAAACCAAAACTTACAAGCTTCGTCGGCAACCTTACGCATGCCATCTCGATTGTTGCTTGATGAGTAGAACAAAAGTAGACCGCTCAAATCCTTAGCCTTTTGAAGGCATTCCTCTGCCAAATCAAACTTCCAGTTGGACAATGCAACGTCTCCAAGGTTACGCCACCTTGCTTCGCTATCCAATTCACGTGCAAGTTCTGTAGCGATATCCAATTTTCCAAGTTGAATGGCAAGATCAAACTTCTGCTCTGCATCAGTGGATACTTCCAAAGCCAATTCTTTAAGGTCTTGTGATTCAAGGAAACGTGCAATACGTCCACGTTGATCGGAGGGAATAGATGGGAGAAGGCTGGCTGCTGATTCGAGATCACCACGCAAAACGGCAGTTTGATATTGGATCACTGTGAGGGATAATGCATAGCTGAAGATATTGACATCCTATCATAATAAAAATGAGTAACAAGATCTATCAGAAATAGTAATGTTTGTTTTACCCTATCTGCAAGGTACACTCGATTGTCACGAGGTGAATAGCCGAGGAGATACATTGGCCTAGAGAAAAACGATATTTAGCATAAGCTCACTTGAATAGATTGAGAGATGAAGCCTTACTTGTCGAAATGACTGATGGTATAAGTCACATCACCCACAAGATAATTGAGTCGGTTGGCATTGTTAGTGTAGATGAAGCAATCACCAGCCCATGTTCCTGTTCGCACACTATCAAACGCATGTTATTATCTTTTGTGGTTATCAATCCAATACCATCCTATACATACCTCTCGGTGATATCATTGACAAATTCAAATGCTTCTTCAACACCTTCGACACCAGGATCACCGCCACTTTCAAGGAATTGAGCATAAGCCTGGGCGTTGTATCGCAAAATGTAAAAGGATTCGTCACAAATGATGGCGACAAGATCACCAGCATCCGACCAGAAAACGTTCTTGGCGTCGACATCGATTCTTCTTACGACGGCTCCCGTTTCCCAATCATAAAAGTTCAAGAAGCCATTCGAGCGCACACCGAGTAAGGCACCACCAAAGATACCTTCAGCAGCATAGTTGAGCTTAGGAAGTAGGCCAGCACGCTCCTTAAAGTTTTTGAAAATCTTGACACGCGATGTCGATTCACGCACAGCATACACATTCGAATCCGCGGCCCATACAAAGCCTAGACCGCTGCCAAAGCTCTTGTTTCTCCATGCCAATGCCGTATAGATGATATACTCGCCGTCTCCACACACCACGACAAAACGACCATTGGGCGAGTGTTGAAGCGTTTGTGGATAGACTTCACAGCTGCCAAGATCCTTGATTGGTAGAGCCATACGATCACCATCTTTGATATTCTCATCTATGCAAGAGAGTCAGTGATTGGAACATTGATCCCTCCATCCTTTTATCTCTAACTTACCCACACCAGCCTTGATATTAGCTGTCTGGATTTCCGAGTGCTTTGCCCAAATGATCTTTCCAGAAGCATCCATCGATACGGCTGGTTCCTCACGACCAAGCTTGATCACAACTGAACCTTCATCGAAACCCAAGGCTACGTTGTTGCCACCTTTCTGATAGGCGATACACCATGCACGCTCCAAGCCATAGTTGAGACTGTTTTCAAGGCGATAGGTATCCGAATTCCAAATACGAACAGTGCCGTCCTCTGATCCAGACATGATGATGGGTAATTCGGGATGGAATGATGCAAAGTTGACATTTTGGCTGTGTCCTTCGAGCGTTTGAACGCAATTCTTGTTTTGGTAATCCCAAACCTTCACAAGACTAGTTGAAAGGCATGTTAGGTTGCATATGGGTTGACGTTTGCGTAACGGCTTACTTGTCATCAGCACACGAGATCAAATATGGCTTATCACCACCATGATAGTAATCGACATAGTTGACACCCTTTTCATGGCCCTCAAGAGTAAAGTTGGGTACGTTGGATCCAAGAGACCACACCTTGATAACACCATCAAGACCAGCGGAAGCGAACGTGTTGGAATCCTTGGGATTGAAAGTCAAATGCATGACAAAATGCGAATGGCCCTCGAAGATCTAATTACACCAATGAGTGAGCATACAAGGGATAAAAATCATGCATAACACATCTTCAAGTTTACCTGCACACATTTCCATCCCTTTTCCCAATCCCACAAGCGAATCGTCATGTCATCGGATCCGGATAAAACAAGAGGCTGTGTTGGATGAACTGCCAAGCAACGAATGTAGTCAGGGTGACCTTCAAAGCTTGCCACCTTTTCGTGCGTGTTGTAGTTGAAGACGCGAATTTGCGAATCATCCGATCCAGTAACGATCCAATTCTTGCGTGCAATAAACTTGGCGGCTCGCACTGATAGATAAAGTAATGAGCATGTAATGTATCGAGGATATTGAAGATTGCAACCCACCAGGCGTTTCTGTCACTTCGAATGTCTTGACCAATGCCTAGGTTGCACAATAAAAAGGTATGTCAGATACAATATATATAGACACATCCTTCTTTTGCTGTGGACATCTTACTTGAGTTTCATAGTTGTAGATATAAACGTGGCCGTTGTACAAGCTGGCAAGAACCCATGGTTCGGTAGGATGAAGGTCGACGCTCTTTACGCGGTCTGAACGCGACAACAACTTGCGCTGTATCATAGAGAGAATAGTGTTGAGTCGTTTGTCGATTGTTGTATATCGTCTCTTCATTTTACCTTGATATCTATCCGCATTCCCTATAGAGAATTGGTTGACATTAGCTTCACGCGTTAATCCTTCCCCAGCTTCACCATCTTGCCCCTTCTTTTTGTTGCACACTTCGTCCCAATCCTCTTTTCAAACGATCCCACCCATCATCCTCTTGTCGATAGTCATTGAAAGTCGTTTCAGGGAAATAAAAGAAGGTCGATATATACCATATTGATGTTGCACGTCGTTGGAAATGTAAAGTGGACAGAGATGAAAGGAGATGAGCTAGCTGAGCTTCCACGTTGAGTTCGAGACATACTCCACTGCCGCTCGCAACGTCACACATCATACATGCCGACCCCACTAACCCGCATTGCTCTATCCTTCCACCCTCGAGGCCATCACCAATGTATTATTTCACTTTAATGCCATATCTTCTTCTATCCTCATAAGATGATAATAAATGCTGAGTATGAGTTTCATCATTACTGCCCTTAAAGATGCGTATCACCAAAGTTGTTGGATACATTAGCGGCATTAACATACGTGTCAGATAAAGCGACAATAAAGAAAGCAAGTTATCATAGGGTATGATATGTATTGTAATATAAATGGCAGTAGCAAAAGGGTATTAGAAATCTCTAAAGATTACAAAAAAGTAGTTGTACACAGTGATGATGAAAATGGCAGGAAGCCTGCTTCCTATTCGAGATCGTATCTTATCATGTTCGCAAATCAGCTTGTTCCCCTCGGGCATAACAATTTACAGGATCAGGGTTACAATAGGTATGACTTGGTATCTCCAATTGGTCAAAGTCCGTGCGCGCTCGCTCTGTCCATGCTATTCGATCAGCAGGTGTAAATGCGTATTTGCCCAAGTTGGCCCAGTAGTATGCTTTAAGGAACGTGATCTCTTGGATGAAATGCATTTCACAGGCACCATGCTGCAACACCTATAATGTAAAAGAAAATCAACAAAAGGCCATAGTAATACCAAGACCAATAAAAGGTTCTCCTTACCAGGTATCCCTCTACCGTACGACCTGTACTGATATATGGCAATGCTCGTGCCAGATACAAACATGGTTGTGTAAACTCCCAAAACTTGACTTGCTGAAAAGCATGGTTGATTCGAGCGACCACAAAGTTGAATCGATCATAGCTCTTGCTGTCGGTAGATGTCAAAAGCTCCACGTCGTCATCTTCAATCATTCGATACAGGCCCATCGTTGCGAAAATCAAACCAAAGATTGGAAATGTGTTGGCTAAAGATAAGAATGAATACTGTCAGCAGATGTTTTGGCATGTGGTACTGCACACTACTTACGTGTCACTGTCAATGATGGTAGCGAGTGCACAAGAAAACGAAGATGTCGCCTTGCAGATTCGTAATTATGCATCCGAGCATAATAACAAACAAGCGTACCATATATTGCGATTTGATTGTAGTCAGCGGCTTCCTTGATATGTGCTTCCAGCAATGTCACGAACGGCTCACAATCACGTAGGCGATCCATGATGATAGCGTTACCAACATTGTACACTCCAATCCACACCTCCGCTTCATAGTCGCCGTTGGCATGGGCTAACTCTGCCATTTGCTTCAGCAATGCTAGCTCTTGTGGGGAGCTATTGAGCTTGCCTTCGAATATCCGCATTGTCAATACCAGGCCAACAGAGCGATAAAACGATTGGCAATCCGTAATCGTGCCAAGTATCTTGACAGCTTCAATGGATTGATACAAGTGATCACGTGCATTCTTGAATTTCCCAGCAGCGAAACATAGCATTGCGCAAATAGTAAGGGTGCCTGGATCATTCTTCTCCTCCATATGCCGTAAAGCCTTGGTGATGTAAAAGATACTATGTTGCTTTTGGTCGTTGATCCAACATAGCAAAGCATTCCTTGCCAAAAACAGGGTATAGTTGGCTCCATCGTCACTGAGTCGCTCGCATGCGTTGAGGCCAATCAAACAAGTATACACGAAATGCTTGCCTTTGCCAGTGTAAAAGTAAATGTTGGATAGCTGCACCATGATTTCAACGATTCGTGTCCACACGCCCTTCTTCCTGCTATTCTTGTATCTACTCCAAGTGCCCCAACGACGATGTTGATATTGTGATGCCCGATTTGACCAAAATTTGCGAAAGAATTCGAGGTTGGTTGTTGGCCATGGATGACCCAAAGTATCCAAAGCCAAATGCAGATAACGTTCACCTTCGCTGAGCTTTGTCCTCATTGTGTAGCACATGCCAAGTCTTCGGTAGATATCACTGCGTCGTACTCTTCCATAGAGCATAGCGGCCTCTTCATTCTCATCCAAGATGCGTACAATGTTCTTCAAGTTGTCTGTCGCTTCGGGTAAAAAGTAGGATCGGATGTTGTAATCAGCCAATTTGTCCAAAAAGTGAAGTTGTTTGGGTATCAAAGTCGTCTTCATATAATGGCGAGCAATTTTGGGTAAAAGATCGGCAGCGTATTCGCGATTAAATTGGGCTTCATAATGCCTGGCAAGCAACTCATGTAGCATGATACGTGTCTCATATGGGACCATTGCATAAATGCTTTCAGGGATTGTGATATGAGCAAAGCTGAAAATGGCAGCACCACCGCTGCTTTCTGATACACTGGGATTGTCGACCTGCTGCAAAAACTGATACTTGTCGTGCACCTTTATCAAGTCGATGATCTCACTAAGACTCTTGTCTTTGAAAACGGCATTCTCCGGGTCGATGATTGCTGCCACCTCGTGAAGAATAAAGCATTGATCCAAACAACTTGCCGCCTTAAAAGTCATCATATAAGGTCAATCGAAATAACAATGACATCTACCACTACACCTCACGTACCGTGAGAACCTCCTGAAAGCTGGCATCCAATCTATCGAATTGCATCCTGATAATACGCTTGTAATCAAAGTTCCCAAGGCTGTCGGAGAGATCAAATTCATTGCTGCTCGTAATAAGTTGACCATCCATCACTGTGACATGGTTGTTGAAGTCCTTCAAAACGATTGCCATGTTCCTTCTTAATGTTAGCCAAGCCGTGGAATTGGAAAATGGATCAATACATATACGTACTTTACATATAACGGATTTCCACCCGTTCGCTTTTGGAAGACTCGAATGATCTCAGGGCTCACGCTTTTGACAACTCCACTCTTGAACGCTTGGACAATGATTTCACCAATCTCATCTGCTCCCAATCCATTCAATGCAATCTCGTCGTGGGTCCCTGATTTGCAAAAGTCATTGATGAATGTGAGGTTGTAATCACGCATCGTTCTTGTCGCCATGATAAGCATCACACGTGGACATTGCTCATGAATCTGATGAAGTACGCGCACTGATGCTGAATCGGCCCCTAGTAATCATGCTTGTTAATTTATGCTCTTTTGACCATTGTTGCCATGCATGTATCCTTACATTGTACATCATCACAAATGAAAACCAATTCCACATGCTCTGATACATATCGCACCATCTTTGTGATTGCACCTGAAAGCAAGATATCGCGAGCACGTCCATCCAATCGAGCTGTGTATTTGTTTTCTTCCAGATCGGTGAGTGAAGCAAAGACAGCTTTGAATAAAGGGAGCAGATTCTCTGTTTCGCCGCATTTACGTAAACACTTGCGAATCAACTCGGCCAGCTCATTGTTGCTTTCGGCATGATGTGATACAGCAGAGAAGTTACGTGGCACTGAAGATGATGAATGCAATCGACGTAATGATTCCATGGAAATGAGCGATGAGGTAGACGTCCTATCCCCTGTTGGTGTGAAAGGTCCAGAGAACGCTTGACTCGTGAAGCTCGCTTGTGCAAAAGACATCCGCCGCTTGATTGAATCGGGTATCTTGTTGGAGTCGATGATCTCAAAGAGCGTAGCAATCAAGTTCTTTATCAAAAAGTACTTTGAGCTCTTCTCCACTACAACGCCACGACATGTGAGTCTTTGTTACATATACATTACACTCACCCATGAGATTACCTTCGGTAGAACTTGCCCAGCTAAATTTGCAAAGACACATCGTTAGTTAAAGAGCATGTACATAGCAATACCGGTACTCTTACCAATTCATCACACCAAGTGAGGTGATCATTCTTCCCAAAGCTTGACAAAAGAAGCTCTTTCCTACACCGGATGGACCTGAGATAATGAGCACATGTCGATTTTGTGCATCATTGTGCCAATCATCGATCAATTGGGTCGCGCGCTCCATTTCCATCTTGTATCCAATAAAGTCGGTAGTTTGCTGTTGAGAGATACGCTTCGGCTTGTTGGTATTTGCTCCGAATTTCTGGATCCGATGTATCTGGATAGGCTTCAATTTCCCTTTAACGACGTTTTCACCCATATCTTCAAACTCGCATGATCCACGAATCTGTTGTTTGCTAGCTGCATCACAAACAACGCTTCTCTTTGCAAAAGGGAACTTGAGCATGCGAACGGCAAGGATGATGGTATCACCTGATATACTTGGATCACGTCGATAAGGGTTTCCTTGTGGTAACACAGCATTAAAAATCATGCCGCTGGATAATGCAATTGAGAAATCGGGAAGATCCAAATTACGATAGATGTCTCGTAATTCAATGGCTGCTTTGGCTGCAAACACTGCTTCACGTTCATGAGAAAGAGGGGGGAGACCAAATACGGCTAGCAAAGTAGGGCCTACATAGATATCCAGGATAAGAATACAACCCATTGTCTATATCAACTTGCAACCTTACCTTTGTCATCGACAGCAAATTGTTGTAGCATCCCTTCGTACTTGATAAGTAGTCGAATAGCGGCAACAAGAGCTTTTTGAGCAGTCATCAATCCTCGAGACGTGGCGACATTGAGTTTTCCAAGGCTGATAAACATGACTGTCACATCACGGAATTGTGCAGGGAAGTTGCCATCTGTACAATGTCGTAGGCGATAAAGTGCACTTCGATTGACGTATTTGTAATAATCAGCCTTGTCCAAAGGAGTTCCTTCCTCATGATCCAATTGAGCTGCAGGGGGCGGTTTGGGTAAACTGAGCATGCTGCCGGTCCCATTCATGTAATGGTGATATTTGCTCCACTGATCTTTTGCTCTCACCATATAGAAATGCTTCCGCTTTTCATACGAAAGATAGAATGGTTGATTATGTTGAATCAATCGATATACTTCAGGTGTAATGCTCATCTCTCCACCTTTTGCTGTTGCTAATGCATCTTCAAGCCATTCGACTGCTGGTCCACAAATTGCATATTCCAATCGACCCGAATACATAACTTCATCAGGTACACCGATTGCTGGTCGCTGAGGACTATGTGGTTCGCCATTTCCATTTGCTATCGGAGGTTCCAATTCGCCAAGGATCACATTACATATATCACCGCATGAAATAGCAATGTGAAGTTCCAAATCAATAGCATTTTTGCTGCTCACATCGTCACTGGATAAGCTGGATCGATGATTGGTGTGAATTCGAGCGCTACTCTTGCTTCGACGACGGCGCATAAATGATGGCAAACAGCTCCAACCACCACTTTCAACGTCATCCATCGATAAACTGATACCATCATCAACCATGTTGCTTGTGTCGCTACTGCTGCTGTTGGATTCAATGCTTTGACCCTCAAAGAGAAAAAATCGTTGACCACGCATCTTCTCACGTCGTTCAAGTTGACCAGATGCTGTGCGATGTTTGGTGCGTTCTTCGGCAGTCAAATAGACTCGATAGTGAGATAATCGTGTAAGAAGTTGTTGTCCACATTCGATGGCTCGTCGTACAAGAATGCTTTTTTGTTGTCTCGACATCTCCTTGTTCCCTTCCGTTTGATCCACACCATCCACAAGTGAAGCTTGAAAGCTAACAAGCACCGCATCCCCAAGAAACTAATCATTATTGGTATTAGCATAATGAATGAATGTCTTGTGTAACATGATCCTATTGTTACCTTGACAACGTCGCCACCATATGACTCAATGATTTGAATGCACTATAATAGTATACATATAAATAATGATGCCCCGTATCTCAATAGCAGACAAACGTACCTCGCCCATATAGGCACCAATCTCGAGTGCGATTGCTTCAGCACCTGATACGCCTTTTTCGGTAGCGAGGGTGGTTAGCTATTAAAAAAGGAAAAGGATCAGGCGCTTGTAAAGAATGAATAGGAAGAACGAGAATTATTACCCTACTGAACCCTATTGAATCATGTTTAAGTTACAACGACGGTCAATTCATTCATCATCCCACCCACCACAACCCCTGAGCCAAATAGTACTACTCACCCACCACATCCACCATAAGCACGACACCAAACTGCGTATGGCTGTAAGGCACTTGTAGCCGGTCATTCAAGGCATGGTATGATCGCACGTACTATAGAAAGAAAGCAATGTCAATAACAACCCATCCGCCATTGGGGGAACTCAATGTAGGGACACTTGCTTTGGCAATGTAGGGGGCAATGTTAAACATGGCAGCTGATTGCCGCAATTCGAGGGGAGAAACAAAGAATCGGCGTGGCAATATCGAATATGATATAAAGAATGAAAACGAGCGTAGTTCTCCTTCTGGGTTCCTACTCGGCTGAAGAAATTCATGCGGCTGTGCAGCAGTAGTAGGGTGTGATGACGTTTCAACAAGGATTACATCTTACATCCAGTGGCACACGGACCACTTTGCCCCCCATATAACTCAGCAAATTGTGGAGATGGTGTCAGCCTTGCTTTGTTCACATCGACTATCTGATACATGTTGTGTGCCATTCCTTATATGATGTGTATCAGGAGCAACCGTGAGAGAGTCTTGTTTGTGCGTAGCCACTCCCACCCCGACCCCCACCCCACAACTACCATATATTATGCTCTTTTGTACACCCAATATTTTATAATAATAGTAGCAGTGATAATTCAACAACGTTCTACTGATGCTTCCTTCTGTCATTTGGATGGGTATCTAATGAGGTTTCATGATCTTACAATCACACTTTAATAGCAGTATGATGCAATTGTATATATTAGCATTCCGGTGATTGCTATCTTTTTATTCAATCAATGGGTTTACCTTTAAGCAAAACTTTATCTTTCATTCCTATCATCACTATCAACCGAGACGCTTGAATGGGTAACTTTTAGATTAGCCCTCCTTAAGGTTTCGATGAAACTCATGCTTGCGACGATCTATCATTATCGCCCTGAAGCCTGAACAACCTGCGTTACTCAAAAGTTTATATACGATAGGAGAAAAGAGCTGATGAATGATTCTTAAAGTATCGTGAAGCCGAGTTTTTGCGTAATCACTCATGAACTTAGCACTAGCATCCTTCCTACTACGGAGAGCAAAACATCAACTTCCCAACACCATCGATTGCCATGCATATCACGTGACCAATTTTTTTTTCCAAAAATACAAAAAGGAACCAACCTTAGAAGGTTCTTTGATTCGATGGATGCGCGGACCGGGAATCGAACCCGGGTCATCCGCGTGGCAGGCGGATATTATACCACTAAACCATCCGCGCCTTGATGCTTGTTTTTTTGAATAGCAATATACATCATAAATGACTCACCTTCCATATGTGGAAATCAACAATATTGGTCTTATTGAATAGCGGATTTATCATAATATCTAGTGGTGAAGAGGCGAATGTCTTTGGGAAGCTCATTGTATAGCAATTTCAGGTTGAAGATAGGTTATCCATGTTAAGGTGTCGGAGAGAAATGAATCGCTTGCCACCTTTAACAGCGACCGACCAAGTGCGTGATTTGAATTCACGAAGGTGATCTTACTCATATTATGAGCTGTTAATCATTATGGTAGGTAATAAGGATCAAGAATGGATCATTGGAAAAGAGCGCGGTGCTAAAAGAAGATGGTTTTTGATAGCATGTTGCATAGTGACATGGATGGTTGCTTAGCATACTATAAGGAAATGCGTATCAAGTCAAGTCTTTATTGCCTATTAGATACAGCAAGGCAAATGAGAAAGGGGAAGGCAAATGTAAGTCGTAAACGTAATAATATGGAGCGGGCTATCAATGGTATTTGGCGTGTAAAAGGGCTCTGAGCGCAGCGGGATCTTGTTCTTTTTGCTTTATTCAGTTACAAGCATGGCCGAGGAGCAACCGACAGAGTCCAATGCGCGCCCACCTATATACGAAGAATCGTCTCAGTACCGTCATTGGCGTTTTAGCCCTGAGCAACTTTGGAACATACGAAAGACGAGTCATGAAACAGCCGTTGAACGTGTCAAGCAGAACATACAAGAAGATCTGGTACGTTTGCATACGAGATCGTGCGACGCATTTGGAACGTAAAGTAACATGCTATTCTCAATCTGCAGAAGGAATCAGAGGAGGCAACGTCTGAAAACCAGGATCCGCAATACCTGTCAATCGAGGAGGAGCTTGCATTGTGCCGGTTTTACGAGAAGCAACTACAAAGTATTTGTCGTCACTTCAAGTTCACGGATGCTGTGATGGTGCGTAGAGATCCTGCCCCCCACCCTCCCTCATATATGAATGGCTAATCTTGGGATGATACAGGCAACAGCTATGGTTTACATGAAGCGATTCTTTTTGTATAACAGCATCATGGATTATCACCCCAAGGATATATTGTAAGTCGTCATGGGATTTGTAAATGATCTCTTCTAATGCAACATAGGTTGACTTGTTTATTCCTTTCAACCAAATCCGAGAGCGAGCGTATTTCGATTGATCAGTTTGGAAAGAATCTCAACCTTCCATCAACCGACAGCATCTTGGGACTGGAGTTTGTAGTATCACAAGGGATCAGATTCGAGTACTTGGTACATCATCCTTATCGAGCAGCATATGGATTGTTCTTGGAATTACAGGTGAGCTTGGTGGTTTATTGGGAGACGTAAATCGTTCTCTTTTTAACATGAAATAGAGAGGAGATGTGGATATCAAGGTTCTCAAAGAGACTTACAACAAGGTTCAAGGCCTCATTGGATCAATGCTCTTGACAGATTTATCATTTATCTATCAACCATCACAGCTTGCTTTGGGAGCCTTTGTTATTGCAGGACGCTCTACTGGATTTGATCAACACATTCTAAGGTAGGTTAAACGATTAAACAGAAGAAGATGCACCCTATTGATCTTTATCTCTTAGACACATGGAAACCAAGGTTGGCAAAGAAAAGATCGAAATGCTATCCAAGATCGCAGATGATGTGGCAGAGACCATTGACCAATTCGTGGCTGTTTCACCCAACGAAGCTAAGCTTATTGATCGACGATTACGGGTGTGCATGAATCCAGCAAAGAACCCCGATTCTGCATTGTGAGTATAGAATAAGGACATTTTATATACAACAACCAATATACTAATAGGTATGAGCTAGATACAAGAAACGAGCAGCAGAGAAAGAGCGCGAAGATGAGGAACGTGATAAGAAGAGAGCACGACAAGGAACGGATGACGAGGATGAGGATTTGTCAGATTGAAACCATCATTTCTTTTGTTTGATCTTGAGCATCTCGGCACAGTTCTTGCAGTACCATTTGCCTTTTGGAGGCGTCCGTAATCCAACACATTCCAGGTGGAACCATTCTATTTCGCACTAAGGAAACCCATTGATTAGCAACAAAATCGTTTTCACTTTGTCAATATATTTACCTCGTCATTATCACATGCCACCATTTCACCAAAGGATACTTGTTGACAATAGCAATAAAGAGGTTCATTGGGATCAATCGGTAGATTACTCAAAGATATAGCACTAGAATGAGCTTAGTCACTTTCTTTGGCTTTTGTGATGGTGAAAAACTTACGCCTGTGCATGCTGCTTGGAATCTTCTGCTGAAAGGTATTCACCTTGTTGCTGTCCTTCATCCACTTCAGATGCAATTCCTTTTTTCCTTCCACGCGTTTGTTTTCGTTTCTTGCGTTCTAATAAAAATGATGTTCAGCATCATGTACACTATCCCATCCACTATCAACATACTGTGCTCTTCCTTTTCAGGGCGTTTGTCGGATCCAGCCGTTGACGTCCCGGTTGATGGACGACCCATAGTAGGGCCTATTAGCTGCTCGTCCTCGTACTTTTGTAAATCCATATCCAACTTGGTACAATGACGATCCACAGTATCATACGTAGACTTTGCCAATGCAAACTTCTCTTCTCCACGCTTGAGAACTTCGTTCAAGAGTGAACCAATGTTAGCGAGTCGTTGTTGGCGTTCCTTTGGCGACAGCACCGTCTTTTGGTTCATTAGACGCAGTGATTTGGACGCAACGTCATCCATAAGCTCTACCCGGACATGGCATGAGAACAAGCATTGATGGGTACTAGGGTTGAATTACCTTGTGCACTGTCGTCTAGTTGTCGAATAAGTGTAAAGTTGCGTTGTAACTCGATAGGAAGTGCTTCAACTGCTACATAATAAAAAGCTGCGTTCAACACCAGGGCCAATGTAGTGTTATAGTGAACTTACTGTCTGAATAGCCACTAAGCCATGAAGATCGATCAACATCGTCGGTCGCAGACATATTTGAGCTGAAAGAAGCGTGTGGTGGTGTATTTTCGCTCTCCCCCACCGCTACAATGCTTTGGGTTGTGAAATGGCAGCTGACCAATCAGGCAAGCTCTTAGTAAGGGTTCGCATGCAGTATAATAGTAACCATATCAACAACTTATGCAATGCGAGTTATGTTCCTTAAAGAAAGAGAATGTTGCTATGGCTTGAAGGCAACCGATATTATCCATGGAGATCCCACTCATCATAGACCTCGAAACCAACAGGGTTTTTACCACCTCCCTTACACTTTTTCCATCCATCATCAGCGAGTGAGCTTGCATGAACATACTTGCAACAAGAAACATGTAGCAAAAAATTTGGTAGATTAATAAAGGGTTTGGATCAAGGAATTGCAGCTGTGTAGCCTCTTTGATAAATACATTCAACTTTCACAACGATGTTTCCCTCATGAAAAGAGTGATCGTCTTAATAGGATTGGCACATCGCTGCTATCTCAAAGGACGTTAAAGTTATGGATAAGGATATGGAATGCTTTTAATACTTCCAATGATGCAAGGGGTGGCTATAAAAGGCAGCTATTCGATGAGCTTTGCATTAAATAGATCGGTGACATGCGTTATGGAAGAGGTGAATAGCTTGAATGTAACCTTAGATCGACCCGGGATGGGTTATATATGATAAGGCTATTCGAATGTAGTTCATTTCAATGACGTACGAAGTGTACCGATCGAGTTGTACGCCTAGTAGTTTATTTGATGTATGGTCAATGCGTGTGCGCGATACTACTACAGAAGGATTATTAATCAGCCTTCTTCTTTTGCCAAGCCAAATACCCAACGCAAGATTGAATTGAAGATCTATTCGGCGATGTTTCCTATCCATATTCTTGTAAATGTACCCCAAGTTATGATACCACAGTTATGGGATCATCGATTGTGGTTGGGGGAAAAGGCAACGACCATGGGAAAAAATGCCATCGCTGAGTAGTCGGGAAAACGTTTCGTGTTGCACAGGTAATTCAGTCATGCCGCCCTTGATCGTTGCGGCAATCAACATCTCCATCTTATCTCTCATGATAGTCATAATGAGATCAAGTCATTACATGAATGAATAAAAAGCTGTTTCTATCCGAGAAACAAGAAAGAAAGAATCGATCTATGGAAGCATGGGGGAGATGGGGAGATGAATGGATGATGTTTGCGATAGAGCTCAACCTTAAATGAGATTTCTAAACAGGATTCGTCATTGTAACAGAACCTGATTCGTCGCTTTCTCTTGATGTTTTTCAGGACAGCTACACTTGGACGCGCTGCTGCCACTCTCAGACGTATTCCTTACTCCACAATGTCTAAAACATTCACACCTGCCGCACGTGTGGCTCATTTCGAAAAGGACGGTATGTCAAGGCACTCTTTATTCAAGTCATGCGTGGGGGCGATAAGCTCACATGAGTGCTTTCATTCTAGTTTGGTCTATCTTCACCCCTTTGGCCGCTGAAACCAAAGCAATCAACCTCGGCCAAGGCTTCATGAAGTAAGTACAAATGACACCTTCGCCATGGTAGCTGTTACAACGAGAGCTCGAGCTGATTGACACGTAATTCTAGCTTTGGTCCACCTGAGGCTGTCCAAAAGGCTGCCAAGGAAGCTATCGACATTGTCGAGTCCAATCAATACAGGTAGGTGGTACTCACTATTCGAGAAAAGGGAAGGATGCTTATCATACGTGGTGTTGTAGTCATCCACGAGGTCGTCCACGTCTGCGTAATGCCATCGCTGCATCATATGAGCCTGAATTTGGTCGAAAGCTGAATCCCGAGACCGAGATCTTGGTTACAGCAGGAGCCAATGAAGCCATGTTTGCTACCTTTGCTGGTTATTTGAATGATGGTGACGAGGTTATCTGCATTGAGCCTTTCTTTGATCAATACATTGTAAGTCATGGGCTTGTGATAAGAGGGTGTTGATGTTTATTGACCATTGTTGTCCATAGTCCAACATTACCATGAATGGTGGCAAACCCGTGTTTGTGCCTTTGCGTGCCCCAGAGCGAGCTGTCGATAGCAACATTTCCTCCCATGAGTGGCGCTTGGATGTTAACGAATTGCGATCCAAGATCACCCCCAAGACCAAGATGATTGTTATCAACACACCTCACAACCCGGTTGGAAAAGTCTTTGACGAGAAGGAATTGTTGGACATTGGTAAAGTGGCCGAGGAACATGATCTCATTATTCTTTCGGATGAAGTGGTACGTATTGTTGGGAAAAAAGGGGGGGATGTTGTCAATGTAGGTATTGATCAATGCATTAGTATGACCGCCTCTATTATCCTCCTCTCGAAAAATTCCCTCGTGTGGCCACTCTCGGTAACCTCTGGGAACGCACTTTGACTGTGTGCTCTGGTGGTAAGAGCTTTGCAGCCACTGGATGGCGTGTTGGTTGGCTTATTGGCCCTGAGCATTTGGTCAAGTATTCCTTCGCTGCCCAAACTCGTGTTGTCTTTTCGGTCAACTCGCCTTGTCAAGAAGCTGTTGCTGCTGGTCTCGAAGCTTCAATCAAGGAACCCATTTTCCAAGATCAAATGGCAGCCTACCTTAAGAAACGTGAGATCCTGGCCAAGGTGTTTGATGAGCTTGGTTTGCCATACACCACACCCGAAGGTGCCTATTATATCCTAGTCAACACATTCAAGATTGCTGTGCCTGAAGATTATCCCTTCCCCCCAGAATTGGATACCCGTGGCAAGGATTTCAAAACATGCTATTGGCTCACAAAGGAAATCGGCGTATGTGCCATCCCACCTTCCGAATTCTATTCAAAGGATCATTGGGATCTCGCTGCCAATTTCGCTCGATTTGCTTTCTGCAAGACTGATGATGTCCTTCACCAAGCCGTGGAACGATTGAGGAAGCTTAAACCTTATATTAAACAATAGATTTGAGAAATGTTGAAAGAAAATAGAATGAAAAAAAAGTATTTCACAAAAGAGTGAATGGGAGAGGGGAAATTGGGGGGGGGGGTGAGGATGAGCATTAACGGCCACCGAGCAAAGGAGCACGCTCACTGGCACGATTTGTCCATCGACTAAAGCGACGATTGATGCGTTCAAGCCAGTTGGGAATTAAAGTACGAGCCACAGCGCTGACGAGGATACCAACGACCACAAGAGACACGGTGTGTGGAGTTTGTGTCAAGAACACAGCGGCATCCAATAAAATCCTGCACATGAATGATTGAATGAGAATTTTGGTTCATGCAAAAAACGAATGATCCTTGTCACACATTACCATGCAGTGGTTAGAGCGTAAACCCAATCGTGTCGGTCTGAATAATCCACGAGATGCAGTGCCACAAATCCGATGGCAAGGATGATGACCGTGTGCACCTGAGAGAAGAAGAAGAAAAGAAGCTATGCGTGAGAACAAGATGTAATATGATGTCGATGATAATAATACTCACAACGGGATGACTCTTGGTCTCATCGCTGAACTGAAACACTTGCCAGACAGTGATGAAGAAGGTGGCAGCTGTATAAATGGAGAAGGGTGCATTCAAGAACGCCATATCGGTTGCATTGCGTGGTGGATAGTCTCGCAAACGATGGTAGATAAACACCAAAGTGGCCAACTGCCATAGCAAACCAACAAAGGCAAAGATGTTGAGATGGAAAAACTAGCGGCATTATACCATGTCGGGTGGTTAGTTTTGTTCATCAAGCACAACGCACACGTACACACACACATCTTTCTCCTGATATGTTTCCTCGACTTACCCAGAGAAGAGATACTCCACTATTCAAAACTGCCACCAACAGATACCAGAAACCAACCGCCTCGAAAAAGTCTATGAGGTGTATTTTAGTAATGCTATTCATTTTTATACGTGTACCACCACCACCCTTGTTTGTGGACATGTTACCTTTGGGAGCACTTGGAAACCATTGGAATATGGTCATACCAACCAATAATAGCTGGAGTATACCAACGAGGATGATGATAAAATCACGTCCATGGAAACCAGCTTCATGGTTGAGAAACCTGCATGAAACACCATCGTATGTCAACTTATGCAGAGACGTAGTGTAGTAGATAAGCGACATACCATTTTGAATAGCTGAACCCTTGAAAGCCGATAAGCAACAAAGTGGCCAGCGTGTTTGAAAGCTTGATCTTAATGTCGAGATTGGCCATTGAGGAAACAAGTGGAAAAGAGTGGGAAAGAAAGAAAGGATCTGACACTTGCTATGCTACTGCACGGCCTCTTTTTTTCCAGCCCAGACCAGGTGTGTGTGGGTATGGTCACCTGCTGTCGATTTTTCCTTGTGTGACACACGTATCTTGGACACTCTCGTTTCGACGACAACAACCAAAAACAGCAAAGAGAACACATAGAACACATGCTCACCTTATCACTACTATGTCAACCTCTTTTCGTTTACCATACGGTTACAACGAAGCTCCTCCATGGCCTTCCCTCTATTGGCCATTCAGCTCTGATTTCGTACCCATCAACTTGATTGCCGATGTCCCCCATTCACTCTACTACTTGAACGGTAAGTATGCTTTATTCCACTTTGAATAGCTACTAAGTCTATTTTAGACATATGGCGCTATACTACAATTTGGTCAGTGCTTTTTGCAACATTGGTGTATCTCCCAGCAGGTAGGCAACATACTTGGAATCATACTGGTGCAGGCGGCTGTGGTCTAATACATACATTTGATATAGGCATATGGGCGTTTCTAATGTTCGCTAAAACACGCACACTACGTTGGTACACGCTTATGATGATCCCAATCATTTTTGTTGTTGGTGGGGCTTTGGCATCATTTATGATAGGAAGCATCATGGGTAAGTGGAGCTCATCTCTCTCTCACATGTCGGTAATTTGATTCCCTTGCAGCTGACCCAAACTTGGTATATAGGAGTCGCATTAGCATTTGTATACAATGCAGGTTTCTTTGTCATGTCCACGTGGATTCCATTTCTATGGGCACTCATTCAAATCCTCGTTGTCCTTGTTGGCAGTTATTCCACAATCACCACCATTCTCTAGAAGAATAATGACACCTCCTCCTTTGTGTATATTATTAGATCCTTCTTCTTCTTCTTTATTCCCTTATTGCTACTCCTCATCATAATAAAGCTTTGCTCAAGATTTCATAATCAAACTTGCGTGCTTGTAAATGCGAGAGACAGGCGCTTGGTGAGATCTCATCCAGCTCGAATCTGGTAATCGTGATTAGTTTACAAGTTCTGTTCACGTTTCTATTCTTGTAATTACCCCATCTTTTCGGTATAAAATCGAAATGCCCCTTTGTTTGCTATATAAAGTATCAGCATCTTATGGTTGTACAAGTTCATGCGTTATACTTCCTTACCTTTGAACACCGTAAGCATCATCTTATCCATCCTCCAATGTTTACCAATCCGCTCCAGTAAGTTCATCAGGTATTCGCCTATACCAAGGCCACGCGCATCTGGAATGAGCTGTAGCTCAAAGCTAGCAATACAATTTAACCACCACAATCATCGAGCACACTCTTTGTATTTACCAGTAAGCTGCCTGTGCCATCACATCGTCATCCATCGTTTCTTCATGAAGCATTCGAAAGAGAAGGAATCCTTTCAGATCCATGGGTTCTTTGGCTGATCGTGCGACAAGATACCGGGCTTCAGGGGCAAACATCTCGCTCTTTTTGTGTTCATCATCCCACCCATCTTTGGATCGAGCATACCTAACAACCATCAAATCAGCCAACATGCAGTGATGCAGGGTATCTTCACAAGTCTTACATGTCATACATGTTGTCCTTGACGAGATCAAATGCCCACTGCTTGAGATGTTCAGGCATATCTTGACACGCATAATAATCCACTACCACGTTCCCTCTGGAAGAATGAGTCATTGATGAAACCGTTGCCAGGCAACAGAGGCACTCACTGTTCAAAGACGAGAGGGGTTTCTAAAAAGTCGATCAGGGACAATGCCTAATCAAGTCCAACATGAGTTGAGTGTTCGTGAGTGAGAAGAGAGAGCAAAATGCCGGCACTCACATTGTTGGCAATGGCAACATTGTCGTTGGGTCGTTCAAGATTGGTCTATCAAATGTCATGGAGGTGTGGGTTGGCGAGTTGCTTTCAGCGAGTTTACTAGTAAACATACTGGCATTCTAAATATACAGGAGGATGGAGAAAATCAAAGCGAGAAAGGGGGGGGGTTGATGGTGGTCGTGACTCAATACGACAAATGATGTCAAGAGTGGTGATGGATGGCAAGTGCAAAAGGGTATCATGGTGGTGGTATGTATTACAACAGGGACATTATATGCTTGCTTAAAGGTGTCAACTTTTTGCGCACGTGGTGATTACAATGATCATGCTTTCGGGTACTCGGCTTGCAAGCTTGAATGTTGGTGATCCAAGGCATAAGCAGGGTACGTTTGCACGTATAACGAGTAGCTGGATTGGGATCAAGGAGATGATAAAGCGTTTCAGTGACTTCAGGATCCAAACGATCAAAGAATGAAAAGCGTCGCATAGCATGTTGACGAACAAAGGAACGATAGTAGGGGTTGGTAGTTTTGGCGCTTGTAAAAAGCAGGTCACCATATAGGAGTACATACAGCACCATCCCAACGGACCACATGTCAGCTTTATCGCCCTCGTAGCCTGTGGATGAAACAAACACCTCGGGGGCTGCATAGCATACAGTACCACATACGCCAAAACATAGCTGGTTGTTTGAATGCCATGCATCACGCATAACCGACGCTTGACCAAAATCGGTAATCCGCACAAGATGTCCATGAATTAAGATATTCTCTGGCTTGATGTCACGATGAGCTACACCCATTGAATGCATGTACATCACGCCTTGAAGGATTTGTTTGAAAAAGCAATACTTCTCCTCTTTGGTCAAACTCCCATGCGTAATGGCACTACACAAGTCTTCATCTGCACACTATATAACAAAAATGCATGCAAAAGTATGAGAAGCAGCCCGTTGATGGATTCACCCACATTAAAATGATGTGGGAAAATAAACGTGAAAAGCGCTTACATATTCCATTGTCGTAAAATAATGACCACTTTGGTCGATGCTGAAATCCAATGTTTTGATTATGTTGGGGTGGTCCATTGTTGCTGCAATACAGTATTCGGAGCTGATAGCCTTCAAGAATGAGCGATGGGACACCTTTTTGGAACGTGGTCGAAAGGTCTTTATAGCGTATAGGTTATAGTCGCTTCCAACACCTAGCCGTACTTGAGCATACGCGCCCGTGCCAATGGATTCTAGTACGGCGAGGATATCGTATCTGTCATTTTTGGCTTTATGGTTATCAGGTGGTGACACAGGCTCTCGATGACGAAAAGCAATGCCTCTGATAGCTGTTGACCAACAACCAGGCACATAAGGATGGTTGCGCCGTATTCGATGTTTTGGAAGGAGATTGTGTTGGTCTTGTTGTATGCTGTATTTTAACGACATGAGAGGAGGAGGTAAAGGTAGGTGGAAAAGGAGGTCATGTAATGGACAAGCGGGTTCGAGCTCGGTTTCTTTTTTCTCCACCACTCTTTTTATTCGTTATTTGATGGGGGTTTCCACGCATGCAACTTACTAATGCACGATGTATGAGTAATAACAATCTTGTGGATGACAGGACCAATTCCGACATTTGAATACACTGCATCAAAAGACCCCTTTTTTATTTCCCCTCATCCCTATCACTAAGCGCTCTCCATAATCGCGGCTGCCTCGGTGGGTCGGTAGTATGGGCCTTGTCGGATAAACTGAAGCATCAACGTATAATGTTGCCCAAATATTTGCCGTGAATTTTCTGCTGATACCAACGTTTGTACAATGCCAAATTTCCATTTCTATTTTGTGTGTGTGTGTGCATAGACATGCGTTAGTGGCGTTCCTGTATACATATATGTATAGTGTGTCATTGACATTACCTGCCCAAGTGGCGTATGTTCAGTAGACCGATCCAGTAAGTATCCTAGGAACGTGGGGGCTCGTGCCATTTCCTACAAAAAACGTACTTTGGAATCAGATGCCTGTTGTTTTCAGCCCGACCGAGACCCCAACTTCTGCAGGACCACATCCCTTTTTTTGTTCTTCACACACGCACATTTCACACACATGCTCTCTTTCGTTGTTGCTCCCTTGCCCTATCCTTCTCCCATATATGACACCTGTCAACATGCACCAAATCCACCGAGCCATGGCAATAAAATAGTACTCACTTCTCGGCCCCAAGTATGACTTGCAATGGCTTGCATCAAAGCAAAGATAGGTACTCGGATTTCTTCCAAGGGTTGAGTCGCCGTCTGCATCAAGCTTTCCAATGTCGAAGGTGCCCCTGGAGACGAAACATATTTTTAGCTGTGCCTCCATATTTGGCTGCATTTTCCATTGTGTTCAACTTGCCATTGATGGTTTGGTAAACTTGACGCGTCATTTGCTCTACTGCAGGGTCACCACTATGTGCATAAGAAGTGGGTACAAAAGTCTTAGTGCATTAAATCTTAACATCGGGCCATTCAATGTACTACTAACCTTATTCCAATAAACTTGGATAAACTTTGAATATAGACGGCTTTAACATCTCCAGACGATGCTTGATATCCTTCCATGAACTTGCTCATCAACGGCGAATCGAGTAGCAGAGCGAGGCCAGCTGCATGAGATCCAATCAAACCCACCACTGCAATAGCCACGGTCTAAACGATAATTACTATCAGCCCCCCATAATCAAGCTGGATTGGTTAATTCGCAGGCTTCCTTACCAATATTTCCTTATTGGTGTCATCAAGGCACTGTTGCAATTTGTCAAACACCTGGTATTTGCTCTGGATTGGTTCGAATTGAATTGCCTAGGCACATGTATAATCAATTGAATACGTTCGATGAAAACCACTACCATACATTACATACTTCATTCTCTCCCAATTTTCCAAAGAACTTGAGAATTAGCGACTTGACAAGGATTGTGATTGTGTCGTTGGTTTCAGAATTGCCTATTTGAGAAGCCAAAGTTTGCAGCACACCTGATCGCTCGAGGAAATCCAGTCCACAAGGAGTAATTGCAACCTAGTAGGCATGCACAATCAAAGGTGAGAATAAGCATCTCATGATCGCTGGGTGAAAAAAAATCATGCCATCCTTTACCTCTTTGAGCATTTCAATTGCATTCAACTGAACCAAGATATCGTCAGAGTTGACTTCATCCAATATAGGTCCCAAAAATCCCGAGCTCTCCGCCAGCCGAAACGCATCATCAGACGACCCAGCAACTCGTATAATCAAATCATAAACACGAAACCGTACGGCGTCACTCCTATAATCATGTGGATGTCAACATTGATCCAAGACAACTTTCCATAACAACAACATACTTACGTTCCCTGTAAACCACGAAGGATGGATGCATTGTTGACAAATAAGCATTCAGGCTCATTGGATGCGATCTATAATATGATTGAGCATGATGTTCGTTTCTTTAGCGAGTTTTGGTACACTACCTTGGCAGCGATATCGACTGCTCTACTAGCAACACCTGTATCTCTGAACGCAATTGTTGTCAACACGAATGGGAAGATTGGCGATGTTGCCTGTAATAGGACGATGGTTATTGCTATAGGATTATCAAAGAGATTCCCTTCCTTCCATATTACATACCACTTGATGCATGGTTGATGAAGCATCCAGGCACTTGGCTACTTGTTCAAGAGACAGCTGCCGAATCTCTGGTGAAAAATGATTCAATCCTTGAGAGAGAAAGTTCTAATGTGCCATGTCGATGAGTGGGATAGTGATGAGAATGATGTTGCTTGCATTCGCTACCTGGTTGTTTTCATCTTGCATAATCATGTCGTACGAGAACGGCCGCAGTAATTTGCTTATCACCTCGCACATGATATTCGAGAGCTGCTGTTCTTCATTATCTTCGCTGTCGAGGCTGCCGAATACGAGGTAAAAGTTGGCGAGAGGCACGGCCGAGAAGATCGATTGAGCTTGGTCAAGGTTGACATCTATCCAAGTTGCCAATCGTTGAATATCGTTTTCGAAAACACAAGGAATGACAGGGTCTACCATGTAGCACGCTATTGAATGCTGCCAACGATTCAATCTTCTGACGAGTTGTGGTTGCTGAATCAGGTGCGATGGCTCGTGCCACGCGTTCAAGCGGGCTTGTTGTGGAAGGCATCGTGTGTTGGGAGCTGAGAAAGAAGTATTATGCGGGGTGCGATCTCCTCTGGATTTCAGCTGTCCAATTCATGCAAGGTATACAGCATCGCGAGAAAAATCAAGGGTATGCATGATCTTCTATTATGCTTGGGGAGATGATGAGATATGATAACCCATGGAAATTAGATAAAGTTGTGCGCTCTTGGTAGGGTTGATGCCGTCCCATTCTATCTCTCACTTTGATTCACAATCAACATGTCGAACAACAACGGTTACAACATCACCGCATTTGCTACCACTGACAAGCCCGGCAAATTCAAGGAAATTACGTATCATGCTCCACCTCTTAAGGATGACGAGATCTACATCAAAATCCTTGCCTGTGGGCTCTGTCACACGGACGTGATTTACATGTCCCAACCAGAAACAATCTTGGGTCATGAGCCTGTTGGTGAAGTAGTCGACGTTGGTTCTTCAGTGACAAAATTTGCAAAGGGTGACATTGTGGGGTAAGTTATTAGAAAGCGTTGGTTGAATGATCCCATATTAATGTACAACAGCTATTCTTATTTACGTAATTGCTGTCTCGATTGCCGTCAATGCAATTCGGGCAATGATATCATGTGCTATGACCGCGTCATGTTCCCAGAAGGAAACAACAATGCATTCGCCCATGGTGTCGTTTGCAAGGATAGGTAAGTAATAGTCATTACATGCTTGCAGCTCACTAACATATCTCATCAAGGTTTGTGTACCGTATCCCTGACAACTTGAAACCCAAGGAGGCTGCACCTTTGATGTGTGCTGGTTTGACAGTGTTTACCGCACTCTGGAAATCTCAAATACCTCCCACTGGACGTGTGGCTGTCATCGGTATTGGGGGTTTGGGTCATTTATCGTTGAAATTTGCAAGAGCGTGGGGGCTACATGTTACCGCCATATCGCATACACCGGTAAGTTTACTATGACAGCGACTAAACTATTGTATACTCATTCCTTTTATAGGGCAAGAAAGAGGAATGCCTGAAATATGGTGCCCACGAATTCATGTGCTCCAAGGACTTTACGGCTGATTACATCAAGAATGCACCCAAGTTTGATATGATCCTCGACACCGTTAGTGCCGACTTGGATTGGGATATGTATCTTAATCTCTTGGATAGGTAATAGCAATGACGTGGTGAGGAAAAAACAAGCAACAAGGTGATTGATCATCATCTCTTATAGAAACGGGTCATTCTTTTTAATCGGCATTCCTTCGGGCCCAATTCAGATCAAAGAGATCTTTCCATTTTTGCAATCGGAAAAGATATTCAGAGGCTCGATCTTGGGTGGTCGATACATTGTCGAGCTTATGCTAGAGTTTGCCTCCCGTCATAACATCAAGGCCGCCATCGAGGATTATCCAATGGTAACCAAAATGAGCTCTATTCTTTGTTGACATGTGCATTGACATTTTATTGTTCTTTTTTTAGACGCCAGATGGTATTGCCAAAGCAGTCGAAGATTGTGAAGCTAATAAGCTACGATACAGAGCGGTACTTTTGCCAAAGTAAATATATAGAAAGGGATTATTGTTGCAGCAAATAAACGAAGAAGGGTGTAGAACAATGAATGCACGACAATGAAAATGGATAAATAAGGCTTGATTGTGCCTGGTAGTATTTACGATTCCAGCTTTTATCGAATTGGACAAGAGAAAGAGCAATAACAATCTAATAACCAAAAAGAACAAAGACAGGATCAGTTTTTTGATTACAAAGAAATGTACAACGAGCGAATCTTGCTCGTGGGATAAACAATGATGGCAGCGGCGTGTAAGCCCACAGCTAACCCCAAGGAGACTTGAAGCATGAGGATGGGATAAAGCCCCTGGGTAACATCATTATTATGCAGCAACGCATATGCATGACGTACACCTATGGTATATACGTGGTCAGTGCACCTTTACAACATAGGCATAGTCATTTTCTTTTTCCCCTACCTAGACTGCCAGGCACAAGTAATGTGATCCCTACACATAAAGGTGCCAGGGGTGGCTCACCAGTGATTTTAAGAGCAAAGTTGGCGTATAAGCCCATGGCAAATGCAGCGATCGTGCTAAGGACTTGAGGATCAGAGACAATCCTGCCAAGAAAAAAAAGCACACAAAAGCCGATAGCTGCACAACATGTTTGTGATGCCCATTGCTGACGTGTGGAGCCGTATGCCAAGCCGATAGAAATACTCATGATGGGGAAAAGCAGTAAATAGTACCATGGTGAGACTGGATCGCCGCATACGCCTTCATCTGGAATATTAGGGTTGATGGCCATATACACGCTGCTACCGATTTGGAGACCATACGCAAGCAGAAATGCATAAATTACTGCATAGGCTAGCCGAATGGCTCCTGTGGTCACCTGATGTGCAAGGATTTCCATCTACCCATTTGCACGCCGTTAGTCATCTTCATCCAAAGTAGTACATAGCTCCCCACTATTACTTACCACTGCCATTGTCATGCCATAACCTGGTAGCAATATCAAAATGGGTGACAACCCCACTGTAATAAAACAAGCGTACTCGTGAAGCAATCGTGCCACAAGACCCACAATGATGCATGACGAGACTTCATATATGGGGCCATAGGCAGGTATCTTGATGGATGCAATGAACAACAATGCCACCAATAAACCAAGGATAGTGGCAGCAGTGGCATCTACCCATGTGCCATCAAACATGCAAGCTGTTGCCGTGAATCCGATAGCAGAGAATGAAAAACACAAGGCCCAGTTGCCACATGAAGGCGGTGAGTCGATGATTTCTTGTAGTGACATGAGGCATTGCTCTGGGTTTTGTTTTCCTTTGTAAAGTGCATTCATGGTTTTGGTCATCCTCACTAGTTTTCCCACGTCAAAGCCGACAACCGATTTGATGGTAAGGGTTTCAGGATAAGGTGGATGTTGTGTTGCTGTTGTATCGGTGGTGGAAGACGAAGACGAAGATGTGGATGCTGGATGTGCAAGTGATACAAGGATCAAATCAGGTACAATCGTGAACGTGGCATCAATTGATAGAGTTTTGCATGCATGCTTGAGGGTTTCTTCCTATGGCAAGAAAAGTGTTGTTAATGATGGGTAGGATAGGAATCGGATTGAAGTAACCATTAAGGAACTTACAATGCGATGAGAAGGACTACCATACTGCAATAGGCATCGGCCAAGAGCGAGAATTATGCGCTTTTTCGTTTCGAATTGTGGATCTTGTTGTGGTTTCTCCGAAGATTCGTCATTATTGAATGTGGATGAGACGTTAACAAGGACATCTGTGTTGGGTAAAAACGGTTTACGATGCAATAGGGTGGATGCGTATTCAATGTTTTCGGATGCTGCTGCTGGAGGAGGAGGCTTGATTAGATTATGTGATCGTTGACTTGAGGAGGATGAGGAAGGGGAATCATCTGGTGGAGCAACAATGGTGTCACTGCTCATGGATCGGCCTGTGCCCTGGCTGCCGAGAAAGCGAGCTGTGTTTTGCAGTGTGGGTGGTGATGCAGCAGCCATGGATTAATTGTCCCACTATTGTGAGCATACAAAGAACCCAAGATAGCACAAATGAAAAAGAAGAAAGAATGGAGCAAGAAAAGAAAAGACACGCTTATACATATACTCAACATTAATAGACGACATCATAATTATAATGCGAAGAGAGCTGTGTGGATCAAAGGGCAGTTCAGTATCAAATTTGTTAAGCTTGTTCAGAAGCATGACGAACAAACGGATATTCAATGATAATGCTTTAATGGGCGTTGGCTGATATCGTGGAAGATTACTTTGACTTTTATCAATGTTGGCAACATGGGTTGCCATTCACAACAGCGAGCAGCATCAAATGCATAAGTCTTGTGTTACCGTCGCATAGCAACAACGAGTACAAGGGCAAAGAAGAAAATGAGGGAGCAAGATATCTGATGTCATGGGAACTGCAATGGATCAGCACAAGGTTAGGATAGTGTGTTTACTACAAACAACCCTGAGTAGTTTCAAATGAGATGGCTTCCACAAGCAACATGCACCCAACACAAGCTTTGTGAAACCATCACCGGGTCACTTTGTTCCTGGGGACACAACACACAAAAGCCAGCCCTCGCTGTCATGCATTTCTTTCCTTCATCTCTTCCCACTATTATACCTTCTTCTCACATCAAGTGTATTTTGTCTTTTTGACCATATCAAAGTACGTACACTTTTTATTGTTAGGGTGGCAGCCTATTGATACACGTTGCTTGTAGATGGATCTGCGATCGTTTGATCTAGCCTCGACCGACAATTACAACTCAAGAATGTAGGTTGATGGGAGGAATTGCAATGGGGGTTGGTTTGACACAGCTTTATTCATATTTGCTTATCCATTTGACAGGTCTCTTACGGGTGAGAATGACATACTACGGCTGCTCCAAACGTTGTATATTAACATGATCTTTTTTGGTAGAGGATGAACCACCTGGAGATGCACGTGTAACGCCTAATATCAGCAACCCTCCACCACGCCTTGTACGCCGGCATACCGATATCATCCGTGAGAATGCAAATCGTCGCTCTCGTTTCTATGATCAATCATCATCATCAAATACCCCCAATCAATTGCGAAACGCGTCGTCATCATCTTTGGCATCCAACAGTATCAACAGCTGGCGTCGTTTTTCGTCATCTATTGCTCGTTTTTGGACGCGATCGGATTATGAGGATAACGACGATGTCAGCAGCGTCAAGAGCATTGTATCTACAACACCCTCCATTCCACGTACCAATAGTGATTGTCGTATTGAAGATGAGAGTGATCCCGAAAACTTGCTATGGTAAGTGATGATGATGATGATGATGATGATGGCCACAAGGGCAATGACTACAGTTGATGTGGTTGATTGACGTGTATCACACATTAGCCCCATTTGTACAGATTTGTTGACAGAGGTAGTGGTAACCACATGTGGCCACACTTTTTGGTAAGTGTTTCATCCTCACCCTAACAACAACAAATAATAATACTAATGCTTTGCTCCCAACAGTAATCAGTGTATTGCTCAACACATGACACGTGCATCCGATTGCCCAATGTGCCGTACGCGTCTCAACAGCATCCAAATATTCCCAAACTTCCAATGCAAGTAGCAGTGATTCATTCAACTTCATATGCCCAATCAACTTACATATCACATCCAATAGTCAACAAAGTGGTCGAGCAATATCGTGAAGATAAACGACGACGCGATCGAAGAATCAGGACCTCCCAAGTGGATACCAAACGCAAACGTGCGCGTGCTCTCAATGAAATCTTGAAGACGGTCCCGTATAAAGGTAACAGCAATTGACAGCTGGGCAACGAAAAAGGAAATTTAACTTCTCTTTCGTGCGCAGAAATCATGGAAACCATCACCCCACTCCTCGAGAAGAAGAAGCAAGAAGAATTTGATCAAAAGGTGGCCGAAGATGTCTTATTGGAGGCGTTTCTAGAGCAACTCAAGGAGAGGCACAAAAACGTATGTTTATCTTTGTTTATCATCTTCATGCAAGTGTGTGTATGTGTGTGCTTATATTGCTTATAGAGCATTGCCGACTTGGAAGCAAAGGTGCGTTTCATTGAAGACGACCTGAATCAAGTGCAAGGGAAACTTGGCGACAATGCTGCAGTGGTCAGCAGCAGTGACAAGGAGGGCATGTCAACAAGAACCATTGGTGATGATAGCGATGCAACGGTTGCAAAGACAAGTGTTACACCACATCCAAATGGGAAAAAGCGCAAAGTTCAGGTAGCTAAGAATCTTTTTGTTGTTGTACATGCATGTATGGATGGTGAGAACTAACAAGATGCTTCTTTAAGGAAATGCTTGGTTTGATCCCGCGTGAGGATGAGAATGAGGATGAAGCCAAAGTCAAACGACAACGCATCTATGATCGATTCAAGGATCTTCAAGACTTGTATATTGGTGACTCGTGTACAACGATGGGTAGCACCGAAGCTCAACGCGACAACCTCAAGCACATTTCGTCATTGTTATACCAAACAACGCGCTTCAGCACTTTTCGTGTACTGGATACCATGTTCCACAGCGACCAATCCGCCAGCTCTTCCATCATATCCTCGATCGAATTTGACAGGGATGATGAATACTTTGCTATTGGCGGCGTCTCTCGTGACATCAAGATCTTTGACTATAGCATGTTGGCTGACACCATTGCTGCCAATGACACTGTATCGGATACTGGAAACGAGTGGCCACGTGGTAACCGATCAACACGAGGAACGGGATTCATTGGCGATTTTCGACCCTCTCAGCTGGTTCATTGCCCTGTACGCGTGATCCCTGCAGGAAACAAACTAAGCTGCCTCTCATGGAACATGTACATCAAGGCTCATCTTGCAAGCTCAGACTATGAAGGCACCATTCGTCTTTGGGATGCCAATGAAGGAACGTGTATTCGCAGCTTTTGTGAACATGAGCGACGTGCTTGGAGTGTGGATATTTGCGCAGCCAATCCTACCTATCTTGCTTCAGGCAGCGATGATGCTAGTGTCAAGGTCTGGTCAACGACTATGCGTCAATCAGTGATGACTTTACGCCATGGTGGCAACGTGTGCTGTGCTAAATTTGCTCCCAATGTGGCAAACTATCTTGCTGTTGGCACCGCAGGTAATTTTGGATGGATAGGGAGTGATGCATACAACAACACGTTATTGATCATGGTGATTATTCTAGATCATGTCGTCACCTACTACGATTTACGTTTCGCAGCTGAGCCTGTACATTATTACCAAGGTCACAAGAAAGCGGTTTCGTACGTGAGATGGTTGGATGACAACACCATTGTCTCCGCGTAAGTTGTATACAATTGGCATCTTTCGATCATGGACATTCTTTGACATTTTGGGAAAATAGGTCTACTGATAACAGCCTTCGTCGATGGAACACGCTCACCAATGAAAGTACCATGTCGTATACGGGTCATAGCAACGAAAAGAACTTTGTGGGGCTCTCTGTGCATGGTGATTGGATATCTTGTGGCAGTGAGGATAATTGCGTCTACGCCTATCACAAGGATTGCAAGACACCAGTGGCAAGCTTCAAATTCCCATCAACCGCCAATCCACTCGAGGCAAGTGTATTTGTATAAGCAATGTGTAGGATTTATAATTAACAACGTTTATCAACAATAGCCTTCTGTCGATGATGGATACAGGGCGTTTGTTAGCTCATCATGTTGGAAGAGTGGCACAAACACGTTACTGGCAGCCAACAGCAAAGGTGTTATCAAAGTACTTACATTGGACAGATAATGAATGATACCAACAAAAATAAAACAAGCTTTATGATCTCGTTCCCACTCTTATGACTCGCTTTATTGCACTCATGTGTACATTTGCTATATATTACACACTACTACCTCTGATCCTTAACACACATTCACATACACTATGATCATTGCTTGACTGCGTCGGCCAATGGTGCTGTAGTAGGAGCCACTGCTGAAGGGGCACTGTCCTCGGTTCTTATACGTTTGGGTGCACGTGCTGGTGGTGTCTGCGATCGAGATTGCTCACGTCCACTCTAATGACTAGGTCTGAATTTGTTTTGCATCAAAGAACGTTGTTTATATGAATTATACCTTTCCCTGTGATCGCTTCAGGTCTTTTCTATCACCGGCGAGATCCGCAGGAAGATTGGAGCTGTATTTTCCATGACATTGAGTCAATAAAGCACTAAATCCAAATCCAAAATCATCATTTACCCACCCTTTAACGTTTTTCACTGTGATGCTCATGGATTCCTCGACAAGCTTATCCCAACTCTTGACCAACTTGAGGAATTCTTGTGTAGGCCAAACAAGGTCCAATTTCCGAGGCTCAGCAGAACCCGCTATTGAAAAAATAGTATTAGACCCTGTGCCCTTGAAACAAGAAAATTCAGCACACTTGCCTGCTTTAGGTTCAACATAGAGGCCAATGTAGAATGTCGTCGTGTACACCTTTTGTATACTCTTTTCTTCTTCCTCCGTCAACGAGACCTTCTCCTTGATTTCATCCATGTGGTTTGCATCCATGTTGCCTTCGGTCAAAGTAAACGTCCGTTCTGGTACAAAGACACCACGCGTAGCATTCTGTATTTCCTGTTCGTTCAAACAATAGTGAACACGGTCGATACCTTTGGTATATGGATGTGCGAGCACAAGCATCTCCACCAATTCAAGCTTGAGAACGAGCTGACGTAGCTTTGATTTCACCAAACCAGACCTATATCCACCGTCATGTTAAAGTTCATAGCCATTTTCCCCTTCCACTATACCAAATCCCCAATCTTACCATTGTAGTTGATCTTCGGCGGAACGCGACATGGCCACGATTTGAAGATAATGCTTGTACGCCTGGAAGAAGTTACTATTCTCGAAAAGCTCTACCCACTTTCCTGATCCGATCATGATAGCATCCACCTTGTCTGCAGCTCGTTTGAATTCCTTGATCATGATGGTACGTGTCGAATCGGTGACGTTGTGAGTTGCACACATGGATGGATAAGCTGGTGTGATAATTGGCATCCGATGACTCTTATCTGCGGGATACAACTAGGAAGAGAATAAAAAGGAAGAAGTGAAATGTTGTCAATATGTGTATGTCAAGGTCCAAGAAAAAAGTTCCTTTTATTACCTTTGGATTCCAAACACGCACTTGTAGAGGCCCATCCTCGATTGGTTTCAATAATACAGGCTGTGGCCATTTCCATTGATACATGATTCGGAAGAACCGGTTGACAATAGCAGCTGCACATGCGTTGGGATAAAGTTGACATATCCGTGCTACCAACATGGCCCATGCTACACCACCAAGGAAACCCATGACATTGGAGTAAATCTCACGCCGTTTTGCCCAAAGTTTGATCGTGCGTAGTGCAATTCGAAAGGCGTCGATATTGGGAACAAGTCGTAAAATCTCATCCGTGACACGAGAGCCGTTCAAGCTTCGAATACACTTTTCATCCAAGCCTTTCAAAAGATTGTTGTCGGCCAATTCGAGATCATCAGGAATACGTGCAATTGTCAAGGAAGCACACAAAAGATCAATCTACCCATTCCCTTCCATGTCAATCGATCGCTCCCATGTACATCCATATCCCATAGCTTCAATACATTACCTGGATGCCTGAAAAGTGCATACCAATGACAGGCACATACGCATCTGGCACGGCCTATGAATTGCGACTACCATGAATACACGTGATCATTGTGATACCCCAATGCCATCTCATACATACCGTTAATTCTGTCACTTCTTGACGCTCCTTGAGCATTTCATACATGACTGTGAAAAAGTGATCTCGTTCAACATGCTTGGGAACAACGCACAGTGTATCAATATCAGCACCTAGCACCCATATCAAAGTTAATTACATCCAGGATACATGCACAAAAAAGAGTCAATGATATCCTACCAGAACCATGAACGCCTAATCGATAACTGCCAAAAGTAAATATCTTGCCGCCAGCTTCTCTTGCAAGTGAATCAGGGAAGCCTTTCATCTTGCTAACTCGATAAACGAATTCCTTGACCATCTTGTTGAGTTTTCCTAGGACCAAAACACTGTGATGCGTTATTATGGGATCGCTTTACAAGTCGCATTTCCTAGGATCGGTACCGTTTTTTGGCATCTGCTTCACTTTCAAATAAGTCGTGGTCATGGAGCGTTTGTAACAGATCGCTGGTCAATTCCTTTTCTTTGTCAGTGGGCATTGCGAGTGAAATAGGAGGAGTGACACCCCATTGGCGTTGTGGTTGTTGTGTGGGTTGCGATGACATTTGGAGTAGAATGAAAGGGAGAGGGATAGAGAGAGAGAGAGAGATAGTGTATTAAGAGTGACAAAAAGGAACGCTGTCTTTATCACGGCAGGAGACAAGTGGGATATCGCTCTCTCCAATGCTCCGCAAGCAACGATATCCAATGAGCTAGAACAATGACACCTATATTGCTTGATTGCGTGGGATAACTATATGCATATACCCCAAGTGAAAGTCCCCTTTCTCTTGACCAAGTGCTTGTTAACACCTTTCCCATCAGTCAGGCACAGATCATCATCCTAGGCTAATCATGAGACATTCAGCTGATCCCACACGTCAAAGACTCGTTACTATTATCCACGACGTTGAAGTGACTGATAGTGATGAAACTGGAATGGAAGAGGAGGTCGACCAGCAAAAGTGATCAAAGATAGCATGGATGATGTGAACCCTGTTCGTTGCACACGATGTTAAGATTGATTGGATAACTTCTTCCTGCTTGTAGCTTTGTTCTCTCTTTTCTCCCTCATTATCTCAGCACCATCATCACCATGGAAGCCACCACCCTTAGTACTGCTGCACGGAACGCATTCCAGATTTTCGGTCAAGTCTATGTCTTTATTTACAATCAACTTCGTCAATTGAATATCCCAATGCCACCACCCGATCGTGTTTTTGTTCTCCTGTCAAATCTTGGTTCCTCCCTCATCGCCAACGCGCCTCCAGCCTTGCGACAGTTTTATGCCAATCTCGCGCAGCTACCCATTCAATCCAACCTTTTTGCTATCGTGGCTATCCTTTTTGTGTTGTACATTGTCTACAATTTGGTCATGGCAACAGTGCGTTCTATTGTGCGTATGGTGTATGGCTTTATCCGGTTCACATTTATTGTTGTCATGTTGGTGTCTTGTCTCGTCCTCCTTAGCCAATACTACGAAATCCCGATCTTGCAGGATTTTCTCGGTGTGGCATTACAGCAACAACAACAGCAACAACAACAGCACCCATCATCCTTTGTATACCAGCATGATCTATAAGGGTTGCCGGCTGTGGATGATGCATCACCAACAGTACCATCAACATTCCATCACACATATCCAAAAGAAATCCCCATCCTTTTATAGTTTCACATATGTACAATCCGTGTCTCTAGTGTCTCAATCAAACAATTCCTCCATTAGCGAAATCTCATACTCCAATGACTTTTTGATATAAAAGCACATGTACCTATAATCGAGTTTAGCCCCGTTTCTTCCTTCGAATCACGTGATTGACTTACGCTTTGCTATCCAGAACATCCTTTTGGAACGTGGTTGTCACATTATGATCTTCAAATTTGAACCACTAAAGGGATATCATGAATATACACAACCACTTCAATGTTACAATCAATGAACAAATACCTCGCCCCGATGTTTGGAGAACATTGTATAATGACCACTATCCATTTTGCCTTGATGGTTGATTACTGCAAAGAGGGTATATAGGTTCCTTGAATCACTAAGATGGTTTTGTAAGTTATCCTTTGCACCGCTCTTTGATGTCAGCAGCTTACCTTGTAGATTTTCCATTATGCATGCCTTCAGTTGTGTATGGAGTCATATCCAGATCCACAGGAAACTTGATCTTGGTTTCAATTTTGCTTACAGAAACACCATGCTCAAAGCGCTACGTTGTTGTATGAGGAACTTGCTACATAAAAAAAAGAACTCATAACCCACCTTTAACTGAAAACAAAGAACGGGAGGAAGTCGTTTGACTGAAAGTTGCTTTGTGGCCTCCTATCAATCAAGATGGATGGTCCATGTGAGCACATCGACGACAACATAAACCTTATTTGCATATACCTGAAACGTGTTTCCACATTTACTACAGCTATATTCATTTTGGCCAAGTTTTTCAGGATGAGTATACCTAAAAAGAACAAGACTTGGTGAGACAAAAAGTCTGTGCGTGGATGATTGTGTAGCGGTGTATTTACCTATCTAAGCAATCGGCAAGTGTATTTCCTTGCTTTGGGCGGCGTGGTGTTGAGTTGGCAGCTCCTGGTGGTGAATCGGATTTGCCATTTGGAGTCCCTTGCTTGGATGTGCTTGTTGTGCTTCCACTACCAGACGCTGATATCGCTGCACCCTTCTTTTTCTTTTCTAGAGGCCGTAATCCCAAGCTGATATCGAGCATTGGATCAAACGTTGTTGTAACATTGTTGCATTTTAGACACGTGACGTTGGATTGAAGTACACCAGCAAACGTTTTGTGGACGATGCATGAGCAATTTGACATGGTATGACCTTAGCGCGAAAAAAATTGTTAGCTCTCATTATTCCTTGCGAATCAATTCCATCCTTCCTTCCTAACCTTCACATCCAGAGTGGATATTGTTCAATGCACCAATAAAAAATTCGTGGGCATCTTGTTGAGCATAACCGGCTAATTCTCGGACACTCATCCACATGGATTGCAAAAAGCTGCATGGTCCATAGGGCTCCTTTTTGCCAGAGTAGACCTTTAAAATGCCTACATTAGCATACCTAGTAGCCCATCCAGGGTTCACCCCCAACAATGACTTGCCTGTGCAAATAAGTTATCCATCTCACAACAAAGACAATATTTGGTCTGACACCGACTTGGGCTGTGTTGGTCGCTTAGGAAGTACGCCTTCAACAATGGATTATGGATGAAGCTCTGCAGGATGACGTTCATAAAGCATGTGTTCCCCATGTTGCATAAACCCCGTACACCTTGGCATGATGTCAAAGATGACCGGTGGACAATGGTGTTGACTTCTTGTGATGATGGTTCCCAGCTAGCATTTGCCGTATTGGATCTCTTCCTTCGACGCTCTATGGTTATATCAACCAAATTAATCTTGTGAGATTTTCATTCCATCGTCATCTAACTTACTATGCCCGCTTTCCACTTGAAGAGTTTCTTGTCGCACGATCAAATCATTCAGCTCGGTGTCATACACATAGTCCTCACACGTATTGCAAAAGATGGTTCGATGGGCAAAATCCATAGCTTTGAAATCCATGTATATAAGCGCTTCCATTGTAATGCACACATGCTGAGATGCTACTTACCAAAGTTGTGCTGCTTGCTTTTCATGTGGTCACGCATATGATTCTTACGCCAGCATCCCATATAGACGCAATGCATACACACGTGCAATCTTGATAATGGATCTTGACATGTAGAGCATTCAGGTAGCGGTAACTGATATATTCGCATGAGCGTAAACCATACATAAATAGATCATCAACCCCTTGACGAAGTATACCTGCTGAGCGTGTTTACGTTTAGTGCCATTGGTGGATGTTGATAGCTCCCTTCGACTCTTGTGCCAGGTGAGTGAATAGCGTACGAGCGATCGGTAGTTGGCGAATAGATCGCCATCGTCATTACTGTTATCGTTTTGGCGTCGTTGTTTCTTGTACTGGGCCAAGTGTGGACAGCCGGCAGTTACAATATGCTGCTCGCCATTATAGAATTCAGTGGGATTGTCGGGAGAGTAGAGCACATCGTATACAGTGGTGGTTGCGGTGGTGGTGGTGGTGGTAGGCTTGCGATCGTTGGAAGAGGTAGGGCCATCGGGGAAGCTGGGCGATGACGGTGATGACAATGGTGACATGGGCGAATCGTATAACCCAAAGGATTGTTGTTGAGGCGATAAACTCGACATGCGATCGGCTTAGGTGTGGACAATGGGGAGATGGCAGTGGTGGTGCGTGTGTGTGTGTGTTGTCAAAGCAAAAGTCAAGTTGGCCTGCTGTACAAAATCGGATGCTGATAGAAAAGCCGCACAGGACACAAACGCTACACAAAGGAAAATCCGCTTACTTGCAATCCCTGCTGTCATAGCCTGGATATGGATTCACGCATTGGTAAGCATGGCTATTATCAATCACATTTCAGTCAATGGGTCCAATACTAACAATGCCATTTACATGGGGTGGGTTATCATTGTTTTCGACCTGCGATCCTCCCATGTTGCATGAATTGATCCATCATTATTCCATAGTAGTGACAATTTTCTTCGTAGTGGATATACCACATTCAATAAACATTATTGTGATACAGGAGAAGATCATCGTCGATTGTGGATTCAGCAGTAAAGCAATGGGCATCAACATACAAAGATCAATGAAAACATGTTTCCAAAAGAAGAAAATAGTAGTATAGATTACAGCTATATTGTGGTTGTAGATGGATGGGGGAGTAGGGTCAATTGGATGATTTAATAAGGGACTGTGGCCATCAAGACACACATCATGGCAATGCTTTCTCCAAAATAGGTGCGTTCTTGAATGCCATTCATATCCTGGAGCACATGGCCAAGCTGGTTTTGCCAACCAAGCACCCAAAACAAAAAGCTGACAGGTGCAACAAATGCCATGTCGGTATAGTCAGCATAGCATTGGCCATTCAAATGATATCCAGCACGAACACCACAATCACCATCACCGCAAACACCTCGTTGTGCTAATTGACCGGCAAAGAATTGGGCTTGTGTCTCGAGTACACCTCGAATACGATCATCCCGTGTGAGCATGTAATAATGACCTAGACGCCAAGGCACACCTAAATTGCAACCCATCATGTTAGCGACTCTTGCAACCAAAGGCCATCATCATCATTACATACGGCATGAATTCCAATTCCAATCACCATCATGTTCACTTTCCAAGACTTCACCACGTGCTGGGTAATACAATTTGCTGTTAGGATCCATCTTTAAGAAATCGGCAATAAGGCCAGTTTGGGGATTCATGCTAAGCTGGCCCTGAGTGGTATTGATAATAGCATTCATGACATTGGCCCATTGTTGTTGTCGTGCTGAATCTTCCTATAAAGGTGCAAGCATACGCTGTCAGAACATCGAGGCAAATCGTTAGAGTGCTCGATGCAACAATACCTGATAAAAGACAAGGAAACCACTTAAAATGAAATCACTGGGTCGTGTCAATAGATACGCATCGTCTCCAGGATCTGCCCAATCACCAATCAGGGGCATGTATGTTTCGTGGTTAATGCAATGTTGCCACACGGCTGCTGCTAGTTCAGTTGCCATTGCACGATAATCAAGCTCGCCTTGTGCACCTCCTCGACCCCACACTTTGGCTGCAAGAAAGAGAGCAGTAGCAATATCCACATCGCCATCGGTTGCACAATTTTGACCACCTTCATCACCAGGAACAAACTCGCCAGAACGAGTGGATTTTTGTTGCCATCTAATAATTCAATCATGTCAAAGAGGAGTTCATGGATATTATGACAAATGAGACGTACTGCATTAATCCTTTGTGATTGCGCCAACGTAAATAATAGCGACAAAGACCTGTACGTTGCGTGTGGAACATCAATTACTATGCCCGTTGCTCCGATACCATTGCTAACTTTACCATCAAAGTCCATCTGGTTGCGTTTGAGCACCGATATGAGCATGCCGTAGCCTGTTATCAAGAATTGCAATTGTTCAAAAAGGGTTGTCATGATGTTGGTTACAATGATCACTATGCATACCGTGAGCTTCGGAACATGTCATCTCGGGTACATTCTCGCTTGGTTCCTTGTAGTAAATATAAAAGCCATCTTGGTACGTGCGCAAATATCTATACTTGAGCGTTAGTCAATAAGGATCATGAGTAATGATAAAGTGAATGATTTTGCTTACTTTCCACGCCACGCTACGTAAGTTTGTTCGAGAGTTTCCATATGCCAAGAAAAAAAATAGAAAGAGGGAAGAAAGACACGCGGAAAGTTTTGGGCGTCGTTGCTCAGGAGTGGAAAGTGAGAGAGGGCAAGCTTCCATAAATAGAGATATAATCTCCGTTGGTAACAGAGAGAGAGAGGGAGGGGGGGACATACATCATCATTGCCAGCAAGGGCGTACACATCAAGTGCCGAGCCGCATATCCGTTGAAACTCCCTCTTTTTCGTGTGCTAAAGGTAAAGTCAATGTCCACGAGCAATGGATGAATGAATGAATGGATGAATGGATGGATGGATGAATTTATCAATGGATGGATTAATATAGGAAGCTTACCATGGCCAAGTCCAAGAACCACACCAACCACAACCAAAGTAAGCGATGCCGCATGACGACGACCTTCGACTTGCATTGCTAATTACGACTCCAACTCATTCGCGCCATCACTTCAGACAGCAAGGCTCACCGTAACGGTATCAAGAAGCCCAGACAACACCGTTATCCTTCGCTCAAGGGTGTATGTACCAAAATACAGCATATCACCAGCACATTCATACGATACTTAACGCGCTATTATAGGTGGATGCCAAGTTCCTTCGCAACCAGCGTTATGCCAAGAAGGGCACTCTCAAGGCTCTTGCTGCCAAGAAGAAGGCATAAGCAGCTCTTATCTCAATGGACGATCAATAAATGTCTCATGGCAAAGGGTCGTTGACACATAAGTGTGCATGTGTGTGTGAGCGTGTGCGTGCTGTATTATTATTGTGAAGATATCAAAAGAATAACAAGTGGGATCAGCGATCTAGCACTGATTTGAATGGAAGGTGATAGAGGATAATAGTAACTAAAAGTAGGTGCCCTGTCAAAGGAACAATGTCATCACCGCTGCATCAATACTTGATGTTCTATTTCATCAAACGTCGTGTTGTCAGTTTACGTTTTCAGCATCATAATCCATGTTGTCATTACACTTACATTAGCTTCACAATGATTCTTTACAGTTTCAAAAACCTTCAACATCTTGCGTCGAGCGCCCAATGCTGCCACGCCTTTTGCTTCCAAATCCTCATCGGTAAGCTTGATAATATCTTGCCACTTCATGGGTTCAAAAATGGCATTGTACTTGTGCAATCGAAGAGAACGGAACCAACCAGGAACATCTAGTATATACATAGATCCCAGCTTAGAGTCACACCATCATGCCTTTCTATGTAAAGAATACATACCTTCCAAAAGCTCCATGTTGACTGATTCATTGTTCTTTTTATCTTTGGGATTACGATTAGCACCTGTGGGCGTTTGAGATTTGCCAGGACGTCGTTGTCTGTTTCGATCCGAGACATTGGAAGCATCACTGTGATCGCTTAAATAATCATGATCATCATAGCCAAGAGCATCTGCTGGATTGAGGAATTGGCCATAATGTTTCTCCATACCAGGTGGAGCAAGATGTCGACGACTGAAGGGTGCAGATGCCGATACGGATGGCACGGGTGAATGAGAGCGGCGTTGTTGTTGGTTGCCATTGTTATTGTTGTTGTTGTTGTTATTGTTGCCATACATGGACAATACGAGATTGGCTGAATCAAGAGCAGCTGATGGGGTCGTATCCTGCGAACCACTACGCTCATCCGTTTCTGGAACGGTGCCTGGTATATGTCGTCCACCACGAAGGCGCTTCAAATCCGAATCCAAATGTCGCATCGATAAATCTGAAAATTGTACAGTTGATGGGACACCCCAACCCGAATTACGATATCCATTGGTGTTGCTATTGTTGCCGTTTCCACCACTGGTGGTGTTGTTGCTATTGCCTGCTGCATTATCATCATTTGGATCCAATGAAGGAAGAGCCCACATTGACACATCAGCCGATTTAGGTCGCTCAGCAGTAGGACCCATACGTCCAAGCAATGTAGATGATCGTTTTTGTGGTTGTGGTTGTTGTTGTTGTGATGTAGGTGGATTGAACCATGTACTGGCACTGCCAGAAGGAAACATGAGTGATGTATCGCCTTCAATGACTGAACGTGGACGAGCTCGAGCACTGAATAAGCCGTGTGTTGATGATCGAGTTGCCGATGTGCGAGATATGGGGACCCGCCCAAAATCATCCATGATATTATTGTTGAAATGCACATGATTGCTGCTGCTACTACCGCTACTGTTGCCAACATTGGTAGTGCCTATAGGACCAAGGAGCCTGTTGTATTCTTCATCCCCCAATGCAAATGAATGTCTTTCCAATCCACCAGGTCCACCAGCTGTCCCACGACGACGTGTCATGTCATTTCCAGCGCTAGGTGGTCGACGTGCTGTTTGTCCCAAAAGACGTTGATTCGCCTCCAATTCCATCTTAGCAACGGCTCCAGCCAATTGCGATTGCATATCTAAATTCATGTGAGTGTCGGTGATGGTATTCTATATCGCTTGACTTCTTTCATACCTTGATCAGGATTATTGGGGGTCAAGAAAGAATGTAGCGGATCACGTTTTATCAACTGTTGAAGCTCGCTAATGAAGAACCGTATTTGAACAGGTGATGAATGCTGCAACAATGTGTACACAGTCGCTGTTCGTTCAGTCTCGGAAAGGAATCGGAACCATTGATCAACATGCTGCAACTCTTCTTTAAAGTTCTACATAGAGAGCCATACCCATGTTAGCTACCACTTGTATAGAAAGTATTCCTCCTTATCAATAAACAGCTTCATACCTGATCGAGGTTGACGGACATCATATCTTCCAAATGGCGTTCATAATGCTGTAGATCCTCACGCCAATTGTTGAGCTTATCGGCTACAAAGAAAAGGTAGCCCATTGATGAGTGGTGCGAGTGGGAATGAGCGTCAGGATGAGTTGCACGTACAGTCTGATGGAGCAAGGTTTCCTTGATTCAGTATTTCCGATCTCGGACGAGTGCCTTGCTGCATGAAATCAGATGGAAGCATGAAACAGTGGAAAAGAAGCGGTGGTGAACGTGATTTGGCAGTGTGTGCTTGTCGCTCTCTATAGCTACCAGCTCAGCCGCCGCCCATTGAGCGGGAATGTTTAGCCTGCTGCTGTATGAAAACAAGGAGGGTTTCAGATGTCAGCAGTGAGCAAAACACTTACGCAGACATTACTAAACATGCTATGATATCCATCACAATCACTTGTCACTTTATGCTTTATACAACTTGGTCCAGACATCATCTCTACAACACTTGCATGTCGTGTGCAACATCGATGGATATCCATGTCGCACAAACAACATTTCACGCATTCAAATACATATTTTAAGAAGGAGTTTATCATATTCACATTCACGATGACATCTTGGCTGCAGGTCGAACAGCCTTGTTTTCTTCTACGGGAAGACTCAAAACAGCCCTCAATTCATCATCGATCTCCTCCTTTCTATTCTTGTTATCATCGCCAACATAGATGGATAATCCCGCAGACGCCATAAGCACAGCTACCGTAATGGCTTGAGCATACATACGAGCTTGTACCAGCTTTTGTTGTGTCGTCAAATAGCGATTGGAAAAGCTGTAGCTAAGAGCTCCCACCATAGTCACGGCCCATGACCCAGCAATAATCGACCATCGATTATCGTTAAGGAAGCGTAAAGTGCGGTCTTTTGTACTAAGAGTGCCTTCATGGGGTGATTTGCTTTCAATGTTGCGTATCACATCCTCATCCACATAACCGAGCTTGACATTCTCAAACTTTTGTGCGACTCGATCAGCAGCAAATAAATATCCAGCAAAAGCCGCTGTTGTGGAATTACATGTTATTATGTATTAAAGTATGCCTTTGTAAGCAACTTTGATGACTTACCAGATCCTGGAAGAATAGCTTGCATAGGCTTGGTCAATGAACGAAAATGGGGTGATCGCCGATACGTAAGTGCTGCAGCTCCCAAACCGATAACAAGACCCACAGCACCACCTTTCAATCCACTCGTTCTTGTCAAGCGATCTAATTCTGCTCTATCTTCGGGTGTGAGGTACTTTTTGGACATGGCTGAGAAAATGGAAGGAAAGAGTGGAAATTAGACCTATGAATGGCAGGGGCGAGGAAATTCATCCGTCACTAAAACCCCTTGCAATAACATCAACAATGGTAAAACCCACAGCACACAAGGAGAAGGAACTTGTTTTCTCAATACCCTGCTAGAAAACAATGATTTTATCACGTGGAAACCCCATTTCGGCCATACAAGGACGACAATCAAATTAGCTGTTGGACATTGTTAAAACAATGGATGTTGACGGCCATATTGGTAAGCCAATCAGACGCCTTTTATGCATAGGTGTCAAATCCAGCACCAGGTGATCCCGTTTTACCACGGCAATTTCCGCCGCTGGATATGAACTTGTACACCCACCATCATGTCGTTCATTGTATATGCGGGTTGCAAAGCATAATTAAAGCATTTATATTATAAATTTACAAAGTTGATACTATACAGAAGATTAAGGGCATTGGCTTGCATCGCCATATGGGCATGATCCAACAAAGGCATCACCGGGTACTTGAGCAATTTGGAACACTGCTTTCAATAAAGCCGAGATACCTTGTCCTATAATACAACGAATGATGTTAATAACCTGAAAGATACGATCACGCAATTTCAAGTACTTACCAGCAATAAGACCACCAGCGCAGCTATATCACGTGGTTTACGATGTTGATTAGCCATATGATTTTGACACGTTCGAGTGATTGAAAAGAGGGGCTCACTTACCTGTACATGTAATCGTCATAGTTCTTGGGCCATCTCCACTTCCAGATTTTGCCAACGGTCCAGCCGATCAGCATGACGAATGGAATTGAGGGATCAGGGTTGATCATAGAGATACCAATGGCAGCCATGGATGGGAAGAAGCGGCGGTACTTTTCGGGGACAACGAAAAATCGGATGAGGGGCATAATGACACCAACGGCAACACAAACGGCAGTGACAATGATGGCACCTTTGCTGAGAGGTTCAGCTGCACCCGTGAGCAAACGTGCAACTTGAAGCCATGCCATGACAGCAACCAGCTTGAATGGGCAGTCCGTAGTATCCAACTCTTGAGAAATAACACAAGGGTAGGCTTCAGCAAAGAGGATAAAGAGACCCACAGCAATACCAATAGCAGGAATGGATGCAACGGCTTGAGCAAGGAATTGGGATCGAGGAGAAGCACCCACGATTTGACCGGTCTTGAGATCACCAACCATATCCACAGCTTGAGATGCGGCCGATGCACTGATGGTACCAGCCATCAAGTTGTTCTTTTGTAGTTGCTGTACTGTATCGGCGGGCATACCAGCAAAAATCAATTGAGTCATCTTGCCAATAGCACCAGTAGGGTTGATATCGGTTTCACCAGAGGCTTGAATACCAACAAAGGACAAGATGAAGGCGATAATGATAGCAACAATCGATTGGTATACCGGCATTCCAAAGAATTCACCCATAATAGCACATGTAAAGATGATGGAAAGCAAAACACCTCCAGCCCACCAATACGTTGGCACAAGCTCATGAGGAAGGTAAATATCACCAGGGCTTGGGCGTGGTTCAGGCTTTTCAGCTGGATCCATTTTTTTGCGGCGGATGAGTTGGCTGAGAGTATTGCCAGTGTATTGAATGCCGCTGTAGATTTCAGTAGCACCACCCTTGAGAGCTCTCCACAAAAGCTTGTATCGTACCAATAACTCGGTGATAGAAGAAAGCACCATGAGTGCAATACCAGGCCACAAGAAGAATTGTTGCACGGTATCACCCTCATCAGTGAAACCACCAACACCAATCCAGGATCCCTTGGATACCATAACAGGTCCAATGATACCCCAAACAAAGACGCTTGATACAAAGAAACTGATTACAGTTGAACCAGGGGTCATAAGACCAGCACCAAAGAAAGGCCAATCAAAGCTAAAGACCCATCCAAAATCAAGATCAGCGCTGATCATGTTGGTGTATCCAGTGCTATAGCCAATCCAAAAGAGAATGTGAACTATGATGAAAAAAAGTTAATGATATGCAAAAGCACAAAGACACTTTTCACAATGACTTACTTTTCTCAAAGAAGGGTACCCAATAAGCAATCAGGGTCCAAATAAAGGCACCAAAAAAGAAAACGGCCATCACCTTGGCCTTCTTCATGGCCTCCTTTTCACCGCTAACACTGTTATGCAATGAGATGATGGTAACAGCAGTAGCACGTGGTGTAGGGAAAGGCAAGTCTTGATTGATGACAAAATGACGGCGTAAGGGAACAGCAAAAAAGAGACCATAAAAGGCGGCTGAGATGGTGAACAAGGTAAGAGCTGCAGCATCACCACTTGGGGTTGACATGAGACCAAGTTTGTATAAGGCAGGGACACCAGCAACGAAACCAGCTGAAAGACCACCAGCTATAAAGGTGATAATGATATAAGCCAAATGAACGAATGTTGTATACATGATGTCGTCAACGACGTACCAGTGGTAGCTGCTGATTGTGCAGTGACATTTTCTTTGGCACCAAAGTAGCCACCACCGAGCCATATGGGAAGTGCGCGAGACAAGGGTTTGAGAATAGCAAAGGAGAAGATGGCACCAAACATGGATGCACCAAATGTCCAACCAATTTTAAGACCCAAGTATGTATTGGAAGCAGCTGCATTATCATATGTTAGCTACCATGCAATCAAGAGAAAAGCAAGAATTGTGTAGCGGTGGTCTCCTTACCAATTAGGCATCCGAGAAGCGAGCCGACCACCGATGCTCTCCAAGTAAATTGCCATTCTTCAACAATCACATGCCCTATCGGCTCGTCGTCCTTGACTGCAATTTGATCACTCTTTTCATAAAGCTCTTCTTGCTTCTTCTCGTCGATCTCGTATTCGATTTTTTCTTGTTCTGTTGTCTCAGGCTTGGATTCCATAGTGATGATGGAATGAAAACGTTGATAATGGGGGAGGAGGTGAGGGAGAGAGAAAGAGGAACCTGGCCTGAGGTGAGAAAAGAAAAAGGAAAAGGCTCTTGATCCAAAGAGGTTTTATAGGCAAAGGGAGGGGATGAATTGTACTGCACTAATCCAAGCGGCCTTGTGCCATTATCACCAATGCTTGTTCTTGACATCACACCCTTTCAGGTAATTTCTGCTCAAAATGGCATGTCATGTCCAAACCAGCTGGTACGTGTGGCATGTATTGATAGAGTCTCCAAATGCGCACGGTGTACATGCAGTTCAGCCACATAAAAAGGACATGGTGGTATCAAAATCAGGTTCCACATGGCCCATGGGAAAAAAAACGATCGAAAAAACGGTTGACAGGCCATTTCAAAGACACAACAACAAGATGAATGTATTGGTGTTATCTATAACCTGTTGTTGTGGTATCAATGCATTTGCTTTTCCATGAGACATGCGTGTATGATGAGCTGGGGTACAAAAAACACATTTCCATGGATTCTGTCGGATCCATAGCCGTGCTCTTTGATTTGTGTACCCGGCGAGAAACCCACTTGGTCGCCTGTATTTGGTCTTCTCTGCCTATTTTGTCGTGATTTTTTCGCTCCCTCCACATTGACATGACCTTGCATAGAATATCAGGAGCCTTTTTGATGCCTGATCTGGATGCTGTGGAGTTGACAAATGGACGCAGCATGCAATTTGATCTGCTGACACCACTACCACCATCGACAACAACCCATCTTTTGCTTTTCTCACACCGACCCTGATCTGTGTCCCTTTTTGCTATTTCTATTGTATTTTGGTAAGCGACTTGTGCTGTTATGGGGGACAAGCGATACCTTGGAAACACAAACTCTTTCTCATTGCCATAGGATGAAAAAGCAGCTGACATGGTGCCGCGTGATGACGCCTTTTTTGAATAATTTGCTCATTTTGTACCATTTCCCCTTTGTTCTTTGCTCGAGGCATTGCGTTTCTTGTAAAGCTATCTCACGTAGTCATGGCAACCCTTTTGATGTTGAAAGAAAAAAACACGTACGGCTCACACCATGTTTCGATTTCTTGATCCCGTTTCACTACGACACTGATTGCTATTGTGTGTTCCCGGTAAACACATTTCGAGTCGTGTGTTACCGAGCTTACATTCCAAAGTGCGTACTTTACAACGCCGGCTACTTTTTTCGCTCTCCCTTGGATTTCATTCGAGCGAATAACTATTCACACGCTGATGTGTGTCTCGCAGGTCATAAGCCCTGGAGTATCCAAAGAAGACGTAGTAATCCAGAAACATGGATGGCTACTGTAGGACAACAAGCGATTGTATTCATCAGTATACGGTCTTCCAAAAAAGGCGATGTTCGCTTGTTCCGGAGAGGAGCATGTGCACATTTTATTTACATCAGCAATGCAAGCAACTACATACATGGACGTTTGACATTCTACATGCACTCACAGTGATGGTCTAATCAACAAAGGAGGTGGATAATGGGAGCATTGTTTTACATCTCATTACGCTCAACATGCGTTGATATCCATTGCATGGTACGAATAGCATTATGGGTATTCATCGTGGGAAAACACTAAAGGCAAGAGTATTTGTACCTGATAAGTAGCACATGCTACCTTGGGATGCAGTACACACTGCCATATAAAGCAAGGATGTCGCCCGAGATCATTCATCATGATGTTATTTTGAAACATGCCATCGTTCTTTGCTATAAATGCTATCATATGGATTTACCTAGATTGTGGACATGACTCGATTTTGATGCATTGTATCAGATTGGTAGCCAAATAAGGTGGGACAAGAGGAATAGGCATGAAAGGAAAAAGAGAACACCTCGCCTGGATTCATGATCCTTGTACAACATGAGCTTTGAGGTGGTACAAGCATCTTGTAAGCTCACATTGGCGGATGCGATTTCAGAGTCAGTATCCTCTTCTCTTTGATTCCCTTTATCTTAAACATGTCATCATCCATCACTCATCAACCATCAACCATACCATACCACTGATTTATATGATTGAGGAAAGGATTTGAAGATAAAATGGTGATTCAATTTCTTTTTTATTAAGCTAGACAGCATTTACATTATCCATTGAGTCACTTGCTTTACCGATCTTATGCATGAAAGTGAAGAATGCATCCGACAAAAGGGGGATTGAGCCATTCAGGGTGCTGTGAGCGATTGATAGGTGAAGTACTCCGTATAATGAGAGTGTGAGATGCATTAGCAGATACCAGTGCAAAGACCGCTTCCAAGCACTTTTCACAGAGATGGCATCATCTCGTTTTCATCTAAGTGATGATGCGATTCGGTTTGTCAATCCAGCCAATGATAAGCACGCATCACTGATCTTATTCATTGTCTGACCTATTTCCATACCGCCGTTTCCCTTTCTTCACTCAGTGCTTGCTTCCCAAACCAAAACGCCATGAAGGTACTGCCAGTGCATTGCTACATTCATTCGTTTGCAACGGTCCCATTGATAACGTCTTCATGTGCAGGTCATTGACAAGATCAACAAAGCCGAGAGCGAAGGTCGTCTCTTTTATTCGTTTGAGTATTTCCCGCCAAAGACTCCACAAGTAAGTCGTCAAGTGTCATTGTCAATTGTTGCTATGGTGATATAACACATGATGGTACATAGGGTGTCCAAAACCTTTACGATCGTATGGAACGTATGCAACGTTTTGGTCCTGAATTCGTGGATATCACTTGGGGTGCTGGAGGCACATCTGCCGATCTCACCACCGAGCTTGTCGCAACGGCTCAATCAGTCTATGGTCTCGAGACAATGATGCATTTGACGTGTACCAATATGCCTGTGGAAAAGATTGATGCTGCTTTGAAGGTAAATCTATAAACGTGGACACATGATAGATGGCATTTCCTAACTATTGCAATTCAGGCTGCCAAAGATTGCGGCTGTCAAAACATCCTTGCCTTGCGTGGTGATCCTCCAAAGGGCCAAAAGAATTGGGAATCAGTTGAAAATGGCTTTTCACATGCTGTGGATCTTGTTCGTTACATTCGCAAGCAATATGGCGACTACTTTTGTATTGGTGTTGCCGGTATGTAACAAAAGGATTGGGGTGGGGGGGGGAAGCCATGTATCAACATGCTCACGGGGCCATGTCATGGTTATAGGTTATCCTGAAGGCCATGTGGATAATCCTGACAAGGAAGATGATCTTCGTCGCTTGAAGGAAAAGATTGATGCTGGTGCTGATCTCATCGTCACCCAATTGTTTTTCGATGCCGATGTCTTTATTCACTTTGTTGAGCGTTGTCGTGCCATTGGTATCACATGTCCTATTTTGCCAGGCATCTTCCCCATCCAAAACTATAATGGTCTCAAGCGTGTCATCTCTTTCAGCAACAACGAGGTGCCCCAGAGAATTTGGGATGAACTTGAGCCTATCAAGGATGACGATGCTGCCGTCAAGGAATACGGCATCAACTTGACCGTCGAGTTTGTCCAAAAGTTTAGAAAGGCTGGTGTCAATGGTTTCCACATCTACACCTTCAACTTGGAGAGATCCTCACGTCTCATCCTTGAACGTCTCAACTTGGTGCCACCACTCGAAAATGTCAAACCGTTGCCATGGAATCCCGTATGTACACAAAAGATAAAGCTCATGCATTGTTGTTTACTTACACATGGATCATACATAGTCTTTGTCATCTAAGCGTGCCAAGGAGAATGTGCGTCCCATCTTCTGGAAGAATCGTGCCAAGAGCTACATTCGTCGTACTGAGACTTGGGATGAATTCCCTAACGGTCGTTGGGGTGACTCTCGTTCGCCTGGTAAGTGTTGGTGTGGTGGTGATGCATGTGATTCCAAACTTTTATATAACCCTTTACTCGTTTGCTTCAATAGCCTTTGGTGAATTGGATGGATGGGGTGTTTCATTGAAGTATCCTCAAGAGGAATGTTTGAAAATGTGGGGCGAACCCAAGAAGGCTGATGAGATTGCTTTGCTCTTCGCCAAATATTGTAAAGGAGATGTTGCTGGTATTCCATGGAGCGCCCAACAATTAGAGCCTGAGACTGAAATCATCCGTCAGCGACTTGCAGCCATCAACTTGCTTGGCTTTTTGACTATCAACTCACAACCAGCCGTCAATGGTGCAAAGAGCTCTCACAAAGTTTATGGTTGGGGTCCCAAGAACGGTTACGTGTTCCAGAAAGCGTATTTGGAATTCTTTGTATCACCCGACAAGTTGGATGAATTGACGGCCAAGATCAGCAAGGATCCTCAAGTGACTTATTATGCAGTCAACCGCCAGGGCGATTTACGTACCAACACCCAAAGTGATCAACCCACTGCTGTTACATGGGGTGTTTTCCCTGGTAAAGAAGTCATCCAACCTACCATTGTTGAGCCCATGGCCTTTATGGCATGGAAGGACGAAGCCTATGAGTTGTGGGGCGAATGGGCACGTATCTATGATCGTGAAAGTGAATCAGCCAAGCTCATCCTTGATATCATGAACAACTGGTACTTGATCAACATTGTCCACAATGACTTCCAAGATGAAAACGGTATTTGGCGCTTGTTCGATCTTGAAGTGGATCAATTTGCCGACCAATCCAAGCATCTTCTCAACGGCCTTGTTGCCTAAGATATCCCACTTTTTTTTTCTACAGCCTTTTTTCTTTGTATTCAACATGCCATTTTCCCCCTCCCCCCAAACTACAACATATGCACATCCACTCACACACATTTACACTTCACACCTCTCCTATCGCACCTGTATTCAACTACCATCCCTCAAACACAGGGAAGTGATTCCTTGTTACATGTACATTTGTTTTGCTTTCAACAGACACCCCCCTTAATTATGTAAACATTTTCTTGTTTTCTTTGCCTTATTAAAAGTACTTCAACAGACCATAACTCCTCTGGCTGCTCATATCATGTAGATATGATAACATGTTTTGATGAGATATTGCCTTTAAGATGGCATGTATAAATACATGTCCAAAGAAAGGGTACACGGACAACTCATTCCGAATTCAGGTGACTAGATCATGCGCTAGTGTGTGTGTATACATGTGTTCCATTTTTCTTTGCACACCTTTGGGTTGCTTCTTCTTTTCTTTAACACACATTATCCAATGAGCAGTCCAACTCTTGTCAATGACATCGATAACGACCATGATAATCTCGAACAACGGCATCACCATCTTTTATTGTTACAGCATTTTGATCCTACCATGAGGATACCACCACCACCAGAAACGTTCCTATGTCGGATCAAGAGTCACTTGCGAGATGCAATGGTGCGTAGGAAGCACAAACGCCACTTGAAACAATGGATGCATCGGTCTCAACCGATCCCTTATCCGCCATTCAATGCTTTCTTTCCACCGCCTCCACCACCACCACCATTCGCCACTGCATCCCTATTGTCGCCACCGCCATCATCACCCTTATTCGCATTACCACCTCCGTTTATGGATGGATTACCAATGATGGTACCACCACCACTACCACTACCATTATCAACAGAACCTATGATCATTCACCATTATCATTGTTGTTGTGATGAGACGCAATCACCAATCAATCAAGTCTACAATCATCATCGCTCATTACCAGGATTTGAAAAAGAGGAACAAAGAGAAGTTCATTCATCATAAAAAAGGGCATGTGTATGGGGGATGTTTTATTTCCCAAAAGAGTAACATAAAAATCGAATTATGAATATTTTTAGAGTTTCAGGAAGTAGTGGTTCTTCTTTTGACTTGCTATATGTTTGCCATTGATTGTTTCCCAAGAAAGGGGATGGGTTGACAAAGGGTAAGTAGGTGTAAAAATTGGGGAGATTTACAAAAGCAAAGTGTAGGAAGAAGGATGAACAACAACGAAAGAAGGAGGGATGTATAAAAGGCTTCTCTCTTGTACAAAGAAAACAAAGAAAGGGTGGTACACAAAGGGGGGAGGTTGTTGGAAAAAGAGAGTGCTTACAGAGTATCCCATGGGGTGTGTGTTGTTGTCATCGATGGAGGGTTTGTTGTAAAAGCCGGCAGCCAGTGGTTGTAAAAAGGTTCTTGTAATTTGTAACGTAGTCCAGACCGTTAAATGAAAGAGGATAGAGGCGCTCAATGTCACACCACGCCATGTTTTTGGTCTATGTGTCGAGTCAAGGCATCCTTACGACTGAATGCTGCCTGGCAACGTCCACATGCATAAGAGCGCTCACCAAGATGAACAGTGGCAATGTGTCGATCACGATCATGACGTCTATCAAAGCTCTTGGGACATACAGTGCACTCAAATTCCTTCTTGCGATTCTTGTCATGAGTCTTGATATGTGTGCCCAAGTTGTATCGGCGGTTGAAGCATGTCTTGCAAATAGGGCATTCGTATCGCTTGGCGTTTGCATCACTAGCAGCAGAACGACGACGCTTGGGATTCGATGATTCAGTTGCGGTGTTGCGTCGCTTACGGGAAGAAGCCTGCTTCTTCTTGTTGGATGGCTCTTCAATGTGTTCCTTGGCTTGTGGTTCTTCTTGATGATGAACATCTTGAGAGGATGATTCCTTTTGATTCTCTTGTACTTCTTGTTGTTGCTTTTCATTCTCATTGTTGTTGTTTTGAGATGATGATGATTGTTGTTGTTGTTGTTGGTCATATTGTTGTTGATGTTGTTCCACACCAAAATCGAATCCCATCAAAGCGTTGAGAAGATCATGTTGATTGTCGGTGATGGTGGATGGATAAGGATCGACATTGTCATCATCATCGAGAGGAGGGAAGAGCATGTCGGATTCTTCAGCTGCGGGTTCATCATGCCAAGCCAAACGAGAGCTGTTCATAGCTGGCGTATCCTTACTCTTATCAAGCACAAGTTGTGATGGATCACCACTGAACGTAGCGGGAGTGCTTGTTGAAGGTTCACCAAACCAGTTGTTGCCATCTGTGACTGAAGAAGCTGCAACCTGATTACACTCCATAGGTAAATAATGAGCCATAGAGATATCGTGACCTTCTATACAAGGTGAAAAGTGAGGAGAACCCTGTATATCACTGAGAGAAGGTGTGAATGCCGTTGCAGGTGTGTAAGGTGTGTATGGTGTGAATGCGGTGGCAGGTGTGTGTGAATAAGGCGTCATGCTTGCGTCGAGATACGGAGTTTCAATAGCAGGCGATTCGCCAAGCACTGCAGCCGCAGCAGGTGTAATATCACCAATAACCGATGCGAAGAGTGCAGAAGTATCCGGTTGCTGATGACTAAACTGCTTGGGATCATCATTCATAGAAAGAGCAGCAGCTGAACGATTCGTTGAGACAATCAGTCGACACGCTGCCAAGAATTGCGATGACTCACCATAATCGTTGTATTCCATGTTGAATAGCAATCTGTTCAAATCTTCAACAGTGAGAGTGGACTGAGACGAAGCCATAAAAGAAGAAGAATTCGAAGAAGACGAGGGTAAAGATAAAGAAGAATTCAAGATGGGTATAGTAAACGCTGATCGAGCGACCAGGGAGAAAGGAAAAAGGTGGGAATAAAAAGTTTGCACTTGGCCTTTTGGCTATTTATAATCCGCAGCAGAGGACTGCTCAGCCCACCCATTTGCTGCGGCAGCTCGGTGCAACATCATTCCGTGTTACCTATTTGGATGACTCAGTTTCTCATTAGAGCGTCGCTTTCGTTTGATCCTCGTTGCCATGGCAACTCTGCCTTTTCTCTTGACGTACCCTGCAAATGAGTCTCCTCGATCGCCATCAGATACCGCAGCTCCCTTGCCCATTATAGAAGCTGTAAAGCCCACTTCCTAAATTAGGTAACCTTGACGTGGACTCACTCCATTTCCATCTTCCAAAAGCTATTTATTCTTTGTTTGGATCTTTTCCATTTCCCTTCCCATACCAATACATTAATCATGATACTCTTCTTATTAAATCAAGCCACGATCTCTTATGTCTTTAACTCGAACGGGTGTTTGAAAGGCAAGGATGGAGATGTTGCTAACAAACTTGAGACAGCCTTGTTTGATTTGTCATCTTTCCATATCGAGCTATGGGCAACACGCGACCACTCACAGAAATTATTCATCTAACACAGAAAAGATTCGAAGAAGCCTTACTAATCCAAGGCCTCATCGCATTGGCCATGCACTTCTTTTGGCAGTCTGCAGGCTATACCCATCCTATATAAGCACCTTTTCTGCTTCATCAGTTGCGAGCTCATTTCACCAGCACACATGGATTCATTCTTATTGGACAATAGGAAGCAGGGGTGATACGCTCTATTTGCCAAGCAAAGCCGGCCGATGTAGCGCGCAATTGATGTAATATGATTTGCATCCCCTTATCAGATTCATGTCACCACGAGTCGACGAAGGATCCTTTATCGCACAATCATCACAGCAAATGTCGATATTACGTTGTAGCCATGTGGCACGCCATTCTTGATTTGTCACCACCCTTGACAAGCGGATGTATTGGGTGAGCGGCATAAATTCGCAATCGATCATGCGTTGCTTGGCAACGCTGGTGATTATTAATGGCAACACAAACTACTGGATAACAACTATGATCGATACCTTGCCCATTGTGATAAATCTTATGATCCAAAGAAACAACAGGTACCAGCCAACGACTTTGCCTGTTTAGCTTGTTGCTATCATTCTAGTCATCTTGTTTTCAAACAACTGAGAAAGGTAAAAGGGGTGGCCACATCCATGCAAGTATATACGACAAAGAACCCATCGATGAATAGGATCAGATGGCACAAGGACCACAGAGCAAGACAACAAGATGATGAAGCCGATTACAGAGATCAATGCATATGTGACCCCAATCCATGGGATAACAAAAGCTGTCTTTGAACACTTAAACAAAAGGCATTGGTGGAGCATCCAATCATGATACGATAGATGAAAGAGATGAGCCATGCATAAAAATCCTTGCTTTTATGTGTGTAGGCGTCGTAATGGTTCATTGTTATCCCCCCAAAAAAGGATGCGAAAAAGGTGACAATGTGATCAGCCGCCTATACGGCAATTAGAACACTGTTCCTCAAGCACCATCTTGGAAGGAATCTTTTTGGTCGTCTTATCGCCTACTACATCTTTATTGTGGGCAACAAGTTGGTCTCCGAATAAAAAGCTGAGGCACAATAAGCCCAATTTATACCTGATCAACAATGGGCTAACTATGTTGAGCACGTGACAAACGCAAAGCTACAACGTGGAACATGAAGTAGGTGCACACTACTGGAATACGATGATGGGTGTTAGGAAGAAGAACATCTTACATTACCATCCATCATTCTTTGATAGCAATTTTGGCTACTAATATGGTACATCATTTCAGCAGCATGGTTGCCAATGTGGTGGTACATGTGGCAAGTAGCACAACATACGCCCGATCGTCAATTTGTTTGTACCTTTCAAGTGCTTTCCCAGTCATCCTGCGTCACCCTGCTGAGGAGATACTTTGGAAATTGGGTGGTGCCACATTCATCATTTTGCAAGGAGATGCGAATTGATTATTATTGCATGATGCACAAGGGTACACTACACAGCGTATGCATGCCAAGTGCGGGTCCATGATGATGATGATGATGACTACTCTCTTTTCTTTGGGGGTTGTTTTTCCCTTTGTGTCCTTTCCTCCTCTCTCTGTGTGTGTTCATCACGATACCCCACATCAAAATATCCTTGTTTGGCAACGTCTCGGGTTAGACAAAACATGATTTCTTGATCTCATGGTACATACAACAACAATAATAATAATAATAGCTCTGTTTGTCGTTTATCACCGGGTGGTACACATACGTAACATCCCCAAACGTTGTAATCCATCAAGGAGCAAATGCATATTTCCAAATTTATATCGTGATGAGAATAACCAATCTCATCCATATCCAAATGTTCGCATGACAAAGTGGGGAGAGAGAGTTGGATGCATGCGTCAGATTCCAGCACTGCTGGGGTCACATGAAAGGAACGACTTGGTTGGCTCTGTGTCGCTTGGCTCTCCTTTCTCTCTCCTATTTAGGCGTTATCCTTTTACAGCAATACCTTTTATCATATCCTGCCGCAGCAAAACAATCATCACCTATGCATGATGTATATGTATATATGTATATGTATATTTGAGAGAGCGAGAGAGGGTAAATATATATGTGTTAAAAACTATAATCTACACAGCAGTAAAGAGAATGATGGATACAAGTTTGAATTCCTAAGAGGCGCTTGGGCATAGAGAAAAGAGAAGAAGAAAAGAGAAAAGAATACTAGCATATCAAGAAAAAGAATCCCCCAGATTGTGTTGTGCATATATGAAAACAAGAAAAGAAAGAACCTGTATCAGCAAAAGGAAAAGAAAAAGATGGATGCGTTAAGACGATGGATCAGAGGTTTTGAGAATGATGATGTTTCAAGCCCATTCACTCTGCTGGTGTTGTTGATGATGTTGTTGTTGCTGTGGTTGTGGCGGTTGATGATGATGATGATGATGATGAGTAGATGAAGGATGATGTTGTTGTTGTTGATCCTCACCACCTCTCATCATGGGCATATAGCCTTGCTGGGACATGTTACGCTGCATCCTTTGATCACGAAGCAACATTCGTTGATCCATTGGCTCTTCTTTGACAGGGTAATAACCAAAGGAGGAAGTTTGTTGTTGTTGTTGTTGTTGACGATACGTGGTGACATCGTGTGGATGAGTAGGTTCTGGACGTTCAAGACTCCCTGGCATAGGTGTTGCACGGGCTGCTGCAGGTGTAAAACTACCCGCCATTCCGCCATCAAAGCCAAAAGGCATTTCTGTGGATGGTGCTGAAAAAGGAGCAAAGCTGGCCATTGGATAAGCAACCGTTTGGGCCACATTGTAGTTATTTTGTGCTGGTGTTACTGCAGCAGCAGCGGCTGCAGCAGCTGCATGATGCTGCTGTGTTTGATGTTGTTGCTCATGTTGCTGTTGCTGCTGATGTTGGTGTGATTGATGATATGCGACAAAGGATGGTGGGGGATCATGTGGTGAAATACTTGGATGTTGCATAGGTGATGATACACGTTGTTGTTGTTGATCAAAACGACGTGGATATTGTTGTTGTTGTTGTTGTTGCGAATGACCCCGTTGAAAGGAGAGTGAGGAGGTGGATGATGATGACGATGATGTCGGAGAGGCAAGTGGGAGACTACTTTGACCAAAGGCTGCAGCTGCAGCAGCGTTGCCGATTTGATGTTGTGGGCTGAGTAAATCGGGAGGAGAAGCAATAAACGTTCGACGAGCAGCAGCAGCAGCAGCAGCAGCAACAGCGGTGTTGCTGACACTTGCATGAGTGGATGGCTCAGATGATGATCGCATAGGCTGATGACGAACATACAACGTGTAATTGGGAATATGAACAACTTGAGCTCCTTTGGGTACTTCTCGTATGCTCGTTGTTGATGATGTGGATTTCCTTTTCTTTGTTGGAGAAGGTTCATCCAAAGCCATGTCACTCGTTGAATCAGGTGAGGGTCGATCCGAATCATTATCACTCGCACTATGATGATGCTGTTGTTGTTGTTGATGATGTCTAGAGCCATCCATGTGGATCATATCGGGATGCAAATCCGAAAGAGAAGCAATGGCATCCGATGACAAGCGTGAAAGTTGGCTATAATTCTCGAGCATCTTTGCCATCTCAATTTCCACAGCTGCTGTCCAATCTTCATTCGATGCGACAACAGCACAAAGACGTGCCGACATGACAAGTAAGCGTTGTGATCGATCAAGTACACCACGTTGTTTGATACGTTTCCTTTCTTCAGTGAGCCTATTGTAAAATCGACGCTCGTTCCATGTGATATCGGGAAACTGAGATTTGACGGCCTCGCGGATTTCATGCGTTTGTAGACGTTGACGCGCCAAATGGATGATCAGGTCATTCACCTCCGTTGGCCACGCTTTCACCATTTCATCAGGAGACATCATCTCGTGGTTGTGCTCTGAAGCATTCGGGTTCATGGATTTGCGAAACTCCCATTGCTCATGCTCATTCTCTGATAGCACCACTCTCCAACGACAATCGCATCGCTTGCTTGGTCTTTTACGTTGAGGTGATGGCTTTGGATTACGTTGCGAATCGGGTAGACCTTCCCTTGAACAATATACATAAATGTTCTATACATAGATAAAAGTCAATCCAATGTCAATGTTTACATGCATCAATGACAACGTACTCTGTTGGCGCTGGCTTCTTGTTTTACAGTGAATCCGAATTCGGCACATAGCTTACGACAATGTTCAATGGCGGTTTTGCTGTCGGGGAATGTGCGCTTTAATAATCTCTCAAAGAGCGGTTCCATCTGCAAATGATTGGATCGACAACAGTAAACAGCTGCTCATCGTTGCATTATTTGATTTCGTGTAACTTACAGATACACGAGCAAATGGCTTTTGCTGTGCAGTGGGGTCATGGGTCGTTGCAAGGTTGTTGCTCTGATCAGGGTTGGTCATTACGTGTGAATGTGAGTTGTGAGTTGTGGGCAATGTCGAGTGCACATTCAGATCGGTGGTTGTGAGACTTGAAAGCACCTTTTGAAAGAAAGAGAGAGAGGAAAAGAACGCGGGTCAGGGAAAATAATGCTGATAATACACCAAATAGGTTCTCCGTTAAGTATAATAGGGAGGGGAGGGATGACAAGCTTGGAAAGTAAAGAGATGGATATATAAAAGAGCAAGAAGGGAAAGGGGAGAAAAGAATAAAGACAATCACCAAGTGATAATGTATGTCTGCGTAAATGAATAAAAGGGTCGACGGCAATGAATATGACGCGACTAAGAAGGTAACAAGAGAGAGAGAGAAAAAAAGGGGAAAGAGAGAAAGAGAGAGAGAGGGACCGATGAATGGGTGAATAATATAAAGGCGACAATGATTCGTATGCAGGGCAACTAGAACAAAAAAGATCACGCCCCGTGAATACCAAAGCAGCAGATATCAGGAGAAAGAGAGAGTGGCAGCTACAATAAGGAGAGTTGTATATTAGATCCAATCAGCGTGGATAAGAACAATGGCCGAGATATGATGCGTGTGTGTGTGATATGCAGCAAAGAGTAAAAAAAGAGGGGGAGAAAGAAAAGTGACGACAATTTAGACGCAAAAGGAGGTGAATGCACACACGGTTGCACACCTTGTTTTGTTTGCTGGCGGGCGAAATATGCAGGTAAGCGCGTGACAAGAAGACAAGAAAGAGAAAAAGTACAAAGGGGGGAGGGGAGGAAGTGAGTCCACGCCTAAAGAAAAGGGAAGCTTAATTACGGTCAGCCGTCGTTGTGGGTGATTCGACAGCTCCTCACTGCATCAGTATTTGAAACCAGGCCAATGCTAGCTTTCCATTCTGTGATACACAGTGATGTGCCTTCACCCCTTTCGGATCGACAGTTGCTGTGTGTTATGTATGTGTGTATACATCCCACCTCCTCCTTCTCACAAAGTACTACTCTTTTTTTGTCTCCTATCACCCCTACTTGTTCCTTTCAACAATAATGTCAAATGCTGCTTCTAGTTGCGCGGGAACTTTTCTCCACCCTGAAATGAGGGATGACGGCATATCACACGTCCCGATGCTCATGCGAGATCATCCGCCCACGCCTGTTATTGTTCTCACACACTCTCACACACACATCACTACCACATTTTCTCATTTATTATCATGGCATCCAAAGAATGTTGTTATATGCACAATGACCTTTACATATGCAATCCATTCATTCGCCCTTTTTCCTCCTCCTTTGTCACATGCAGCTTTAATGATGAGATAGAAATAATGGCCTATTTAGTAACCCGCGCGCGCCTTACAACACAAGATAATAGATACACGCACGCATTGCACGCAGTATCCTTGAAGGAACGGGAGGGCTATTGGGGTTATTATGTTTGGGGGGGGGGAGAGACAATGTGCGATCAGGGGTGATTATGGGGATCTCTTTCTTTCTCCTTGTCATGGTCATATTCTTTTTTGTCGATCATCCTATTCTTTCTCATACTTTATGTGTCATTCTCCAAGATCGAGGTGCACAGCACCAATTATTTTCAGTAACCATCCGATCATCATTACATACACACATATGCATAGATTATTACCGCAGCAGCATTATATTCCCACGATAATAATAGGTGTATCCCCCACCCGGCATGCATTACTATGTCCAAATGAAAAGACAAGACCTCTGACATATGGCTTCCTCCTCCTCCTTTCCCCCCTTTTTCTCACTTGTCATTTGACCTGTCATCTCCATTCAAATGGTCTTCACGTCATTTTCTGCAGTAGTACATTCGGACTAAAGAAGAATAAGGATAATCCGTTTGTTGTGAAAAAAGGTCGCATGGTACTTGCATGTCAAACGTATGTGCGTGCATCCGCTGCTGTTGCTGTTGCTGCTAGTATCATTATGGATGACTCGTGAGAATTAACCCACGCACTCCGTTTACTTTGTTTTTATCAAGGAATGAATACTACTTGAAAGGTAGATGGGAGATGTACGTATGTGTGTGTGTGTGTAAGTGAGCAAACAAAAAGAGATGTCTTTTATTGCATTATCTGATATCGATCGAGAGAGAGATAAAGAGAGAGATGGGGGGATTTTATATCAGTCGCTCGTACAACTTGACTTTCAAGATCTTTTTCATTCTTTATCCATGCCACGCCTTGAACTGGTAGCCACCCTTGAAGGTATCATTCACACGGCCACGCACACGATCCAGTCGATTCGTAATCACTTGCTTACCTTGGCATGCAATAGGACACCAAGATCGTGTTTGGCAAGCTGTTTGGCATCCTTCAAAGACCATTCTTGCAACATGCTCGGGTGACAAGACCGTTCGACTCTGGGCTCCCGCATCGCACTCTGACGCTTCGAATTGGCAATGCATTCACACGCTTGAGCATGGACATAAACGTACTATTCGAAGTTTGGCATGGTCACCTTCTGGAAACGAGATTGCAACAGCGAGCTTCGATGCCACCACGGGTATTTGGGAATACGACTCTCGAGAAAACGACTGGGAATGCGTGGCTACCCTTGAAGGCCATGAAAACGAAGTCAAATCGGTGGCCTGGTCAGCAGGACAACTATTGGCAACATGCAGCCGTGATAAAACTGTGTGGATTTGGGAAGGTAAAAAGGGTGGATCTTGACAACGCGTAGGGGTCTCTTCTCTTACTAATGGTGGTATACAACTCTTGTCGTAGTCGAATCTGACAATGATTTCGAATGTCTGAGTGTTTTGCAAGAGCATAGCCAAGATGTCAAGATGGTCGCATGGCATCCACACAAGGAAGTTTTGGCATCAGCAAGTTACGATGACACTATCAAGATTTGGCGGGAAGATGATGATGATTGGTACTGCTCCGATACCCTACAAGGCCACACATCTACTGTTTGGGCATTGGATTTTGATGCTTCTGGTGATCATATTGGTAAATTACAAAGGAAGGAGTAAGGAAAATGATGATGGGAGATTGACTTTTGGATTGATAGTGTCTGGTTCCGATGATCAAACTTTGCGCATTTGGAGAACTATCAAACCTCAAAACGCACAGGGCATTCCTACACCAAGCCATGATCCAACCTATCGAACGGTTTGCACATTATCCGGTTACCATAATCGATGCATCTATTCGGTCTCCTGGTCCAAGGTGAATAATCATATTGCAAGTGCCAGCGGTGATAATAGCGTTCGTGTGTTTGTTCAGGTAGGTGGTATACATTATAAATCAATATAGACAAGGTCTATTGACTAAGCTGAATTTTGATAGCAATCGGGTGAGACATCGGAAGAAATGTCGTGGGAGGCAACAGCAAAGATCGAAGCAGCCCATGGTGTTCATGATATCAACCATGTTAGTTGGTTCCCATCCGAGGTACATAAGGATTGGTTGGCTACTGCTGGAGACGATGGAGTGGCACGTATTTGGCGGTATATAGAGGATGATATGTAATAGTCATCATTAGCCGTAGCCGTAGTAATAAGAATGAATCTAAAGCGAGTTATGTATATAAAAACTACAATTATGCATTGTCAGCCTTTTTCAAAGATGAAGTTGGAAGTTTTCCTTAGCCTAACACATGGCATCATCCGGCATTCGCCGATTACCCCGCAACCGCACTGATTCATTCATGCTGTTAAATAAAGCATCTTCCCCCGCTTCCCCCGGGGTTGACTTTTGCTCGTCAAACCCAATACCTCTTTTTTTTCCTTCTTTTGGTTGCTATCCTTCTTTCTCGAGATACCATCATTCCATCCAGGGACTTTATATATATATAAACAATACAAGGTGGGTACAGTTGATATAGTAACATAAAAGAATACAAAGACCAGGTTCTCTGACAGTCTTCCATGACGAGCCATGCGGAAATGCTCACTCGATGAAGAACTTGACGCAGCAACACGCGAATACGACTATGGCATCGTCCCTGGATCTTGCACTGTTTTTGTACGTGATACTGCCAACAATGTCGGTCGCCTCGATTTGACCTTGCTCGAGGATGTCTTGGTGGTCATTGACTTGACCGATCAGGGCTATATGGTACGTCAAGGGAGTCTATTCAATATCAAGGAATTAACATAGGTATCCAGGTTACTTCATGTTCAGCTCTCTCCAATGCAGGCCTTGCATTAGCCACTGCTAGCAAAGCACAATCACATCTCAACAAGCCCTTTGAAACTCTCGAAAGCCTGCTCATGGCCATTTCTCCGTTATTCTGTCAACGTTTTCAAGAAGTCTTACTTTCCAAGCTGCTTCAGGATCCCAATACCAACAAGAATAGTGAAGAAGATGTACATCAATGGGTTCAACCTTCCTAATGTTTTGCAACAAATATATCAATCTTTCTTTTACATGTGTTGCGTGCATGGATTGTGTCTAAATGAAATGAAGAAAGTGATGCAAAGGGATATGTGGGTGATAATAAACATGTAACAATGCTAGGATGATGTTTTAAAGGAAGCTCCACATGGTACCGGTGAGTGCCATAAAGGATGAAATAATGATAAGTACCCAGTTCCAGAACTTTTCTGGACCCGTCAAGGTGTCACCAAAGAACCGTAGATAGCACAGTATAGGGATGATACCGGATATGACATATGAAAAGAACGATCCAAGCAATGCCATGATCTTTTCGAACCCTGGGATATAGTAGGCTAATGCCACAATCATCACGCTGACCATTGCCTTGCCAATAAATGTGAGAATCGGCTCTCGCCATGATCCACGAGCACACCAAGCTTCAATCCATGGTTGTCGGAATACTACAATCTGCCAGCTGGAGTGAAAAGAAGCAACAGAGTGAGATCTCTATCGTATGTAACAGCCATTGTTCAAGTTACCTTAAATTGACGGGATTCATGTTCAAACCATACTTTGCAATGGGTTGGAGGGCAATCAACCACACTGCCAGCCTATTCAATGCTTGATTATACTCAGGCACCAAAACGAGGTTTTGTGTAATCTAGTCGACGTTTTTTTCCATAAGACCCCAAGTCATACATATCATTTCCTATCACAACTACTCACCTCTTGCATTGTTTGTGATCCAAACATCAAATACCCACAAACGGCTACAAGGAGATATACCATAGTGGTTGCAACATAGGTCCAATTCACCATTGTATCGTATCGTTTGGGATTATCCATGTCACGGTATACACTATAGCAACAAGGATTAATGTTATCGCTTTAATTACCTGTAGACGTTCACTTACGTAGGAAAAACGGCATGTGAGGCAAATCCAGCCATGATGAGACCAAAGCTCAATGGCAATCGTTGGTACTGGGATGGCCATATTTCAGTGTCCTAAATAATAAAATGAGTCATATTGCCATTGTGCCTTAACCTGTAACACGTACTGCAGGCTCAATCAAACTTCCAGGTGCATCATGTTTGGTAAAACCATCATAAAACATTACGCCAATGATACTAAGTGCACTAATAATCCCAAGCAAGCTTGAATAGGATAGGTACCGCACCGGGAAAAAGAGCATAGGCGTCAAAATAAAGAATGAGATGATACGAAGCGTGATGGAATGAAATCCAGGGAACAATGCATCCAAGCCGTCACTCAAAAGAATCACCATGGCAACGCTAATAGTAAAGGTTAATGCTAATTTCCCCTCTCCTCGCCTTCTTCATTCCCCCCCCCAATTACCTGTTGGTGATAAGCTCAGTGACAAAGAGTGTTGTAACAAAGACACGACCACGCATACCAAAAGTAGCTCCTGCAAGATCACCAAAAGTGCGTGAACTAGGATCGACTTCCAAGCATCGACCAAGCAACTTGGCAGTGTAGTTTGTCAAAAGACAACAAAAGCCGAAAATCAACAATCCTGCAGCCCATCCCGCGACCTAACCCATAAACGGCAGTGGTGAGCAAATTTGAACAATGAAAATGTGCTATCCCTTTTTTACCTTGAATCCAAGTGGTAACGCAAGAATCCCAACACCGAGTAAAATGTTGATTGAATTGAAAATGGATTGAGCAAAAGATGACTTTTTCCTATCGTCCATCATGGCTGGTGTGATCGACTGAGGATTGCTGCTAAGCACACTTGCTAATCGATAATCATCCGCAACCGTGGCAACGCTGTGTGTGGATAGCATCTTGTCAATCTCACTCATAAAGAGTGATGCACGCTCCTGTGATTCCATGTGTGATGAGGGTCGACGTTGATAGTGATAGCCACCTGTTTCTCCGCCCGACAAGTGCCTGAAACGCATTGCCATCCCCATGCACAAGGTGAGTTTACTTGACACAATCAATAATAGCCTTATTTTTTACCTTGAGAGAGATCCAAAGGATGAAGTGGAATGCTTGTCAGCTTCTTCATCAAACTATAACGAACACAACACCATCATCATTATCATCATGCTTGATCTATAACACATGACAGCAACAAATCAAGTTAACTTACCACTGGGGTGGATGGTGCGGGAACAGCTAAATTCTCGGCCATGAACATGAGAGACGTTCTAGAATACGATCCAACAAACGATCCAACTCGATCCGAGAGTGATGTTCCTGAAAGACGAGTAGGCAACACGCCTGTGCTAAGAGGTGCTGTGCCATAGTGAGATGTACCACCACCACTCGACATGTGCGATGGATGTAAATTTCGGATACGAAGAACGTCTTGCTCATTTGTGGAGCTCCTGGTTAGCCTTGTGTGAGCATTTGGAATATCCATGATGATGAAGAAGAAAAATGTGTGTCTTTCAAAAAGAGATCCAAAGCGCATTGTCCAACAGGTAGATGTTGCCTCTTTAAATATGCCGAGGGTTTGAAGGTTGTACGACCCCGCCCAACAAACTTTTTTCGGCTTCCACTGCACGAGCTCCAATGTATTTCTTTATTGAAACTCGTCTCCTTTTGTCCTGCAATGTGGCATTCCTCATATTCAAGGGTGATGAAAAGGTCTACCACTTGAACGCGCACGCACTCATACACACATCTCTTGTTTGAGGGGCAAATCTATTTGTTCGAAACCCCTATTATCCAAAGTGGGTACCCATATTTTTGCATTAAGGTTTGTCTTATCTCCATTTGTGTTGCCTATTTCTCGTCCACATTTGGAACTTGTGTGCTTGCAATCATTTACTTGCCGTTGTGTAGATGCCAACAGTGCTATCTCCCCTATCGCTGGTATGCAAAAGATAAGAGTATGCTTGATGCTGCGCTAATAATAGGATTGATGATAATCATGATGCATCACTCAATCTCTTGCAGTAACATAAAGAAAGGAGAAAAACATCTGCTTTATTCATGTTGAAACAACAAACGCACCCCCTTGCCCTCCTTCCCCTGAACCTGGGTTACGGTTTCCACTGCTGTGCAATGCATTAGACACATGGTGTTCAACCTCGGGTTTTGGCAGTTCCCGAGTCTGCCTGTCAATAGGTTCCTTTCTTGTGCTGTATCCAATCCCACGCAGTTTCATGTTATAAACACTTGCATGTCATCCGATCTATCATCCATGCAAATACATGATCCATAAAGGAATGATTCTTTTATTGTAGATTATGATTTAGAGACGCGATCATGCTAGATACGGTATCCAGGACGACATGCTTTTTCATGATATAGGGTGCAACAGCAAGGGCAAGTTGTTGTTTACAAGTGCGTATCCATACCCACGGTTGTTTGAATGTCTTGTGTCGTAAAAATTCTAAAATGAAACAAAGATTCGTATATACATTGCCCAGTCAGTAAACACTAAAGCGACAGGGCACACTATGCAATTTTATTCAAAAGAGGAAATGGGTGCGTTGTAAGCAAAGGAGAGGAAAGAGAAGCTATCGATGGCGTCGTTGGTTACTAAATTGTTGTTGTGGTGGTGTTTGTTGTTGCTGTTGAACGTGCGGCATTCCTTGCCATGGGGGAAACACGTGCTGTGGTGGATGAGGCATATAATACATCATTGGTTGTTGTCGCTGCTGCTGCTGCTGTTGCTGCTGCGATTGTGTTGTTGGAGAAGGGAAAGCTGCTGCTACTATTTTACATGAGTATGAGTGGGTCGTCTTTATCAGTATACACGTGATCCCTACCTTGTTGGCCATCGGGTCGAGGGGCATACATTGGTGTATGCATGTACGTGCCATTTGCAAAGGGTGGCATTGTCGAGTATATAAAGCATGGAGGATAATTGGATGCTCCGCTTGGTAATGTAGTCGCCAATGGCATTTGCATTTGGTATCCCAGTTGCCGATCTTGCTCAGTGAACATAACACCATCAACCGCAGCATCAGGTACATCATGGGGCGATTTGATCAATAAATGTCTTGTCTGCTCATTCAAATCCATAAGCATCTATGAACATACATCTCTGTCAATATTGTACAGGATCCAACATGCACACACACACACACACACACACACACTTACATTGGAATCAACCCCATCCATAGTCGTCATGAAATTCAAATAAGGTGGCTTCAACGTAGCAACATATTCAACACGAGTAGGGAAAATAGGATGACCAGACTTGATCAAAAATTGGCGACGTTGTGCCCTGTTCCAATCTTCCTGGACATCTTCAGTGGTAACAGCGATATGCTCGGATGATGACTGATTGGGTATACGAGTTGCTGTAGTAGTAGCTGGCTCTTTTTCTTTAGGTGATGAAGCTGTTTCACTGGTCACAGAAGAAGCTGCTTTGTTGTCATGTTTGTCTCCTTGTGAAATATCATGTGCTGGTGTCGCTGTTGATGTTTGCTCATCCTTCTCCTTCTCATCATCATTTGTAGATCTCTCGGCATCCTTTTTCATAGCATCTTTGGCCTTTCTCCTTTCACGCTTGGTTTTGGCCTTTGTGGTGGATGTAGATGTTGCTTCGGCTACTTTGGTGTTGTCATCTGCTTTGATATCATCGCCAAGTGAAGGCCATTGCTCCTCGCTATCAAGCTTCGGTTCTTCATCTCGAGATCGACGACGATCGTTGTGACGAGATTTCTTTTCCTTACGGTCCTTACGATCCTTCTTGCGCTTGTCAGTGACACTTGCACTATCATTGTCATCCACAGCTTTGTCGCCCGTTGATGGCCGATCTCGTCGTCCAAGTCGATCAAATTGACGTAAATCTTTGAACATAGCAGGATCCAAGTTCCTCTCAGCTGCATATTGCTCCACTTGATTATTCCACCGTTCCTCATCCTTAGCCTGCAATCGATCCGCATAAGCACTCCATGCCGATGCACCTGAAGTAGGGGTGAAGGTCTCATTGTCCTTGTTGCCACGCACTCGTTCAACGTATTCGTTCCATTGCATAACCTCCTCCTCATCCGAATCCCTCAAAGTATCCTCATTCTTATCCACATCTTCCTTCTTGGGTTCTAATAATAGATAGATAATAAGCATGAGATCATAATCACTGGTATTTTAACCATTTACCTTTGTTATCCTTTTGTTTCTTTGTTTTACGCTTTTGACGTTCATTGTTGGATGTTGAAGATCGGTTGTCGTCAGCTTTGTTTGCAGTGTCTTCAGCCTTGTCTTCCTTCTTTTTGGATTTCTTGCGAGAGTCCTTTGTCTTTTGAGACTTCTCTTCAACCTTCCGCTGATCAGGCTTAGAAGATTTGGAATCCTCTCTTTCCTCATCCTTGATATCCTTGGTCACCTCAGGCTTCTCATCCACTGCATTGCTCTCATTCGATATCGACTCATCCGCTTTGATGTCCTTGCTTGGCTCCTCTTCCTTCTTCATTGGCTGCTGCTGTTCTTCATCTTTTGGAACCTCATTATCTGCTGCCTTATCTTCAGATGCCTTTTCTTCAGATGATGGTGTCTTTGGTGGTGGTGATTCCTTGCTTTGCATAGCAGCTGCTAATGCTTCAGCCTTTTTGCGTGCACGTTCACGAGCGGCTTCACGTTCGGCTTCTTCTTCATCACGTCGTTTCTTTGCACGTTCAGCGGCGGTATGCATGTATTCACGTTGTGCAGCTGTGAGCTCCTTTGGTCTAGGTATCGTAGGTGAAGTGGATGATGTTTCAGGCAAGCTGTCAAGAGAGGGTGCTGGTTCATGAACTGAATGGTCATCTCGAGTTGATGATCGATCTGAACGTGCGCTGTGTTCGGACATACGGCGTGGACGTTGCATAATGGTAGGATGGAAGTTGACGGATGATCCACCACCGCCACCTGATCGCCTATCATAACTAGGACGTCTCTCATATCGATGTTGTGAACGACCACGATCCGATTGACGATCTCTGCTGGTGCTACGTCCCCAAAGTCGATCACCTGAAGGTCGTCGATCACGATGGTTGCGCATGTTGTTGTTGTTGTTGTTGCCTCCACTACCACCTCCTCCACCACCTCCCTCCCTCCAGCTATACGCATCACGTCGTGAATTCTCACGGTAGCCCTTGTAATGCCGTTCCTGGTCTTCAGTCACCTGAAGTATATGAGGTGGATAGCTGCGATCATAATCTTGGGTAAATCGATCCGAAGGAAGCACCGTAGTCTCATTTTCCACTGGATTAGGTGATGGGCTATTCTCTTCAGACTTTTCTTCATCATGATGCTCTTCAAGATCTTGACGTACAAGCTAATACCATTATATAATTTAGTCAAAGACCACGTGAGCTCTTTTGACTCCCACGTTACCTCGTCCCAATCCAAATGTTCAGGGTCACTTAATACTGACGACAATGAATCTTTCTATATATAATACACAGGTTAATGAAACCCATATTGCATCTATCCATGTATCATTTTTTTACCTTATCAGATTTCTTGTTTTGATCAGCTATAAGGAAGAAGAATCAGCTTAGTTGATCTAAAGGGGGGAGGAGAAGAAGGAAATGACATGATTACTTTACCTTCTACTGTGGATGTGGGAGGAGATGATATTGTTTCTGCAGCTGTCGGGAAATCAGCCGATGTGGTGGATGATGTGATGTTTGCAGTAGCTGTGGTGGCAGTCGTTGTTGCAGTGTTTGCTGGTGATCCCCAGGCACGAGGTTGTTGTGGTGGTGAAGATGCTTCTTGAGATGAAGAAGTTTTGCTCAACACAGGTGATGGTTGTTGTTGTGGATGTTCATTTTGTTGTTGTTGTTGCCATTCTCCGGTCTTGGCTGCAGTGTCGGCATGATCGAGTTTTTGGGGTGAAGAATAAGGTGACGATACTGGTGAAGGTGAACCCCATCCACTGGCACTGACACCACCATTAACGGATGTTGTTGAACAAGTATTCGACGACTGTGACCATTCTGATGATGCTGCATTTTCTCGACGTAGGCTTGGCAAGTTGATAGGACGAGGTGCACTGATCTTGCTTGTAAGGACTCGATTGCGAGTATTGTTCGAGCGCGCTAATGGGGAACATACAAGAAGAAGGTTTTTGGTTCAGACGTTGACTCCGAATGAATACAGCAAAGCAAGAAGCCCCATTGATCCAAGCGATCCCTCACATGAGGTACTTTTTTGTTCAAAGGGCAAGAAACGAACATTACCTTGTGAATGACCTGTTGCAGGACTCATTGATCCAGAGAACTTTCTGTTGATGGAAGAATAACGCCCTGTTGTTGACGCTGGTGTATCGCCGGACATGTTGCAAAAGAAAGAGGTTGCAATTGCCGTGAATAGATCGAGTTGAAAAGAGAATAAAGTTGTTTGACACGACGTGTACAAGTGAAGTCTCTCGCTTTCAAAGTAAGGTGATGTTCCCACTCACTCAAACCTCAACTCCCACCCAGTTAGCCAGCCATCCACACACCGCCTCCTTAGGAAAAAAAGAGTCACGAGATTGATCCCTCCCCTCATTGGATGAACAGCCCCCGTGTGGGGGGCTACCTTTATGCAAGAAGCCATTATACCTCACCCACTTTATCTTCAGGGACAATGGGACACTTGCTTACTATCTTCTCATGCTTCGATTGTTCTCGAAAAACATCATAGTTCAATACATGCATCACATACATGAAACACACTCTCTCTCTTCTTCATACCACCTACTTGTTTCAACACGCCACAAAAAAATAAAAAGAATCCTGGTTGCTTGGTAAAAAGAGAATGATAGTTGATATGCGATATAAATAAAAGGTGGGTGGCTGTTGATCCATTGTACCACTTTTGAAATGCGCAATTTTGATGATCGATCAGCAGGTACCTATCAAATCATTGTATACCCGGATAACTGGATAACTGCAAACTAACTCTGATGAGCAGCGGAGAGTATCATGACAGCATGCGTGTGGATGGCTCGACCATACAAAAGAAAAGCGGGGGCAAACATGATAGCAATATGGAATGTTTCATCCCGACCACCGAATTCCCGCGCTTTCTGCAGGTTGATAAGTTAAACCAAATAACCGTTTGTAGACGTTATAGCCATACATCCATCGGCCATGTCCCCGCGCACTTTAAAGAAACGCGCCACATTGTAGCGATGAAAGCAATATAACAGCAACAGTTGCCCTTTCAAAGGACGCGTTGATACACGAGTACAGATGATGTCGTCGTATGTCTAAATAGGAAGCAATAGGATGTTCTGTGTATGTCATGTGTACCCAAGCCTTCAAACAAATGGATAGCTGTATTCCGAGTACAACTAGTAGGGTGTGCAACAATCAATAAATGGGGGGAGAGGGATTTAAATCAGATAAAAGTATACCCCCATGCTCATTGACAAGCGTTGTTGTAGTTGTCTTGTTATCCGCGTCTTTCTTTTCTCTTTCTCCTTCTCTCTCTCTCTTTACTTGCACTTTCACTACCTCCTCCACCTCCACTATCAACCCCACTCTTTTCTTTACTAATGGCTTCTCTAATCTCAAAACTCGGATCGGCTGTTGGTCTCACCTCATCCACCCCAAATGTCGATAGCGATCAGCTTCCACCTGCCGACTGTGTAGTGAGCGACTGCAACGCTTGTCCAAATCCATGCGACGATCATAGACCTTATCCTCACATGGAGATCGATACCGAGACGCCCTTGCTGGGGTCCATGAAACCATATGGTCGACACATTATGATCAGCACAGGACAAACTGATTGGGCATCACATATTGAAGACGACAAGGGCACTCTTGCAGCAGAGCTTAACGTGATCGTTAATGATCAATTTAAGCAAGATTGGCGTAATTTCATCACCAACACCTCCATGTTTACTCAATATTCAACCATCCCAAATGCACACGACGTGATCATCTTACCAGACAATATCCTTGTCACCAACGTCACTCCTGATCGTGCTCAAGAGTTTTATGACGACTTCCTCAATCAACCATTACCTGCATCACCTAATGAACCACTCAAGGTCTCCGAATCAATGAAAGTACAAAAGAATCCATACGCTTCCATGATCTTGATTTGCTCCCACAAGAAAAGAGATCGACGATGTGGTGTCGTAGCCCCTATCCTGGCAGCAGAATTTGATAACGTATTGCGCGAAAAGGATATCTCAGAGGATGATGTGGCTATATTCATGGTGAGCCACGTGGGAGGTAACGTAAAGAGGATGTAATGCAAAAAGAGATACAGCGGCTGATAAGGGATGTGATATGGTATAGGTCACAAATTTGCTGGCAACATCATTTGTTATATCCATGAAGGAAGGACAGGCATCTGGTATGGTCGAGTCAACACTTGTCATTGCAAGCCAATCATCGAGGAAACCATGTGTGAGGGGAAGGTCATCAAAGATCTGTATCGTGGAGCCATGAGCCACAGCTTTGTCCAGTCGAAATCTGATAGAGTCAAATGGTAAAATAGTTATCTGATCTTACATGCACCCTATCCTGTACATGGGAACCTTCATCCCCCAGCATGTCATTTGTGTATTATTACACCTGATCATTACTGCCCCCCTTCCACATCAAACCAATTTTCGGCATATCCCGCGTTGTAGTAGATAAAATTTCATATAGGAATGATATCAACCATGATCACAATGATTCATGCACATGGTGCACATGTAACACGGTCACTCTTGCATCCTTTTTTTTCGCACAATGGTATAACAAAAATCTTGCGGAGAGATAACTTGGTGCCACAAGCATTTGCCATAGATGGGACATTCACCAACATAATCTGGAGACGCCTTCAACTAGAATCTCTATACCAAATTATTATGACAATGAATGAGGCAAACACAATAAATGGCTGTTTGAGTCTTTTATGAACAAAGTTGGCACTCAACAATGACTGGGTCATCCCGTGGATCAATATGACGATGATGCTTTGCTGGTCAGTGATTGAAAAATGGACAAAGGCAACCATAGGATCCAATGCGTTAGCATCATGATCGTCGACTAAAGCTCACGAGTGGGATTCACCATCATGCGGGGACATGCTTCTTGACACACAAATTCATAAAGACATGTATCCGTCGGTCAGGGGATTGATGATGCAATTCTTGGTGTACACTTTGAGACAAAAGCGATCGTTGGATATTGGAAACGATTGCCTCATTTATAATGGTCAACTGATCAGCTATCATTAGTCAATCCACCAATGAGAACAAAAGATCGACCACATCATGAAATTGAGATAGTAGGTACTTCCAAAAGCCAAGCATCGTTTATTCGCAAAGTATGTGATCAAATTTCGCTATGATACAAGTAGCTCAGCAGCTTTCATAGACGAGATCGCTTATAGACATGTAGTATCAGAGTTCTTCCATTGAGGTTAATAAAGGATTGGATGATTGCCGAATGCGATACATCTCCAGCCGTACATCTAAATTAACCATTTTACAAGATCTAGATCATAAAAGAGGAACATGTGTTACAGGGTAGTTGACAAGATCTAATCACAAAAAAGGAGGTGAGTTATACCATCGAATACAGTCTTTATTCAAGACACAATGAATCAATCAACCCTTCTTCTTCCTCTCATTGTCCTTTATCACAGCATTCACAAGTGGGTATCATGCTATCTTTGTATAGTACAATCCATCAAGTACCTATAGACGACGAGGTCCTAACTCAGGGAGATGGACGATCTCTTATACTATAGAACTTAAAAATGGTTGGACATCTTAATCTCGCATTCTCTAAAAATAACCCTTTAACCCAAACACCATTCACAAGAGATAGAATGAGAGGTACAATGAATGTCATAATGCGGGTGATACATCAATTTGGAGAGCTCTTATCCTTTGAGCAGGCATTGTGGAAAGATGGTTATAAAGTGGCACTTGATGCGTGGTGGCAAATTATGCACGAAGCATGGAGTTGAATGATGATGGTTGTATACGGTTGGCAGGTTGCACAATGATTGATGGTAATGGCTGCCATGAAATACCTGAACCAATCGTTCAGGATGATAGCATCAAGGTCAATGGTCAAATTCACTACGGCGACATAAGAGCAAAACTCTCTTTCCACGCATTGTATATATCCATATCCTTCCATCCCATGTATCAAACCAATATCCATATCCACATTCATATCCATAAGAAGTCGTATGTATTGAAACACGTAGCTACACGTAAATAAAGCTGCTTCTATACAATGGCTATCTGCTGCCACGTATCGAAAGCTGTAAGGCAAGTTGCTGCAAATAGCTTGAGACAATGGAGTAAACACCTTGCTAACGGCAGCTGCTGGATGCTGTTACGATTGAACGTGGCAGAGGATTGCGTACAAGACAAGGTGAAGTGTCGAGGAAACGCCTGTGTTGCAGTAGAGTAACAACAAAGCTATGCACGCGCCATGGACACGCCCATTCAGTCAAAGACAATCGCATCAATACAATGGTAAGATCGACATGATGGGCTGAAGCAGGACAATCGTTCGCAGGTTGTAGTTGTATACTTGAATGGGTCAACAGTTGAGAATGGGAAGAAGAGAAGATGAAGTGGGGAGTGGAAGAGCTGCAAATTAACTTGACTTTTCTGTTACTTGGATGATACTTCTCTGTTTGAGCGTTATTCATTCAAATCCTATTGGATCAAGAAAGTTGAAGGGTGTAAGTGTTGAGCCGGAGCAGGACAATCGTTCGTATGCATTGAATTGGGCAACAAAGGTGAATGGAAGGACTGGGCATTTTAAGAGCTATTCCTAAATAGTGTACAAGAATCATGCATCGCCTGTGCTGAATGACTCAAGTTACACACACACGCCCTCTGCATCTTTTGCTCTATTATAGTCATACTACTTTACATTAAACAAAGACCACTCTTCCTATAGCATCATGCTTACAAACATAAAGGTGCCTGTATCTCCGAACTTTACAATGAAATGTGGGGTTTTTATTAGAGCAATGGGCTCGGCTTGGCCAACTGCACCTTGTGTGAAAGTTTCATGATCAAGCTTGCCAATCCTAGATTTCGCAATGTCGCCACCAGCCAAACTGGATCTGGGGGTCGACCTCTTCGACGACGACGACCAAAAAATATTTTTTGGGCTGTTTGCGACAATGAACGCGAAACTTTCACACAAGGTGCTGTTGGCCAAGCTTGCTCATTGCTCTTATCTTAAACCCACGTTTCATTGTAAAGTTTGAGATACAGGCACCTTTATGTTTGTAAGCGTGATGCCACACTGGGGCAGTTGCTCTAGACAGAATCTATTTCATATGGCATAAATCTTAAAAATGGGTGGAATCTTGAGTTGTATGGGCGCTGTATGGAATGAAAGGGATCTTGGGGACATCTGAATCTGCATGGAGGCTAAAGGAATATGGGTGGTGTCTAGGAATATGCGAACAATCAGACAAGCTTAATTTCTGCAGGACAGCCTTTTACATGAGACAGAACAAGCTGAAAGGAATCTTGGGGAAATCTGAATCTGCATGGAAGCAACAAATTATGGGTGGTGTCTAGAATATGCGAACAATTGGGACAAGCTTGGTTTTGTGGCCAGTTTTACATGCCGAGAACAAGCCGAAAGGAATGACAAAAGCTCACTCATCCCGCTGATCGGGATCTTCACGTCCGTTAAAAGTAGTGTGCATCATAATCTCACAGATATTGAATTAGGTGATATAAAGCTTTTACAGCCTCTGGGTCTGACACATACCTCAAGCAGCACCGTAGGCAATAGCGGGCAGCGGGGAACCAATCCACCGCACGAGGTATCCTGATTTGAGCTCTCTTGATATTCCCTCACAAGAGCCTGAGAACGATGAGGTTGTTTGGCTTGAAGCAATCAATTGTTGGCTGATGGTGTTACGGGTGTCAGGGACTTAATACAATGGATTGTTGTTTTTGCCGTAAGTCTCTTGCATCATTCCATAGCTGATGAGTAAATGCCAGTCCTAACAAATGCATAATATCCATCGGGAAATGTGTAGCTATGGAAGCTAGGAAGCGTTGCGAATGGACTGGGGCGACGTTGACCAATAGAAGAACGTGTTTTTAAACATGGCCGGTTCTTCATATATCAGGATTCCACCTGCCTGTGAGGAAATATCATTGCACTGCTAATAGGTTACCTCTGTATCAATACCCATATAGTTAATATACCTTCATTATGACTTCGCCATTAACAATGGAGTACCTTTAATGCAACAAAAACGGCATCCGTGATATCCAGATGGGCCTATAAGCCCTGGCCATTCTGGAAGCTGCTGGCATGTCGCCACCCACAAGCACCAGTGGTATTCTCGGCGCGTAACATGCTACTACCAACTTGAACATGAAAGCCGTCAGTGGCGATTGACCTAACCCTCGAGAACTGGTTCCAAAAAGTTAATTGCATCGACAGTCCTGGGACCAGGAGTAACACATATTTGCAACATGTTCTTTTGATGATATCGGACTTCAGGTGGTAATCCAAAATTATCAAGCGTGAACGAGCATCATCATAGAGGGTTGCTGTGCTTTGAACGGCTGAAGTCATCTGTGAAAGCATCAAGCTCGATTACCAATTATCAAACAAATGCGTCTTCTTGATCTCTTCATGAAAGGAGAATCAAAAATATCGTACATGATGCCATCGCCATTCGCCGAATAAGGCTCATATTTCAAGATCACGTGCTTCATCATCCCTAACAACTAGTTCGAGCTGATCACGCAAGTGGGAGATACTTGATTGTTTGCTTAGGCTTGTTGTCTGATAGCAAAAGAAAGGCAATATGGGCATCGAAAAGAGAACATGAATCGACAGCAACATACCACCCATTTTGACACATTAATTGGATACGACTTGGCTTGATCGGATAAAAGGAATGGCTTCTTGCTCGGTAGTGAGCTTACGAGATGCGGCTGTCGGATCACCAATATACTTGTTGACCTTTTTAGCTATTTTCTCGCATATTTTGCGAGCCTCCAGAGTCATTCCGTGTGTATATGTCAGCGCCATGGCAACATGTTTAGGATCGTTTCAGTGTTTGAATGCGAAAACTTGAATACATTGAAAAATCGAATATAATAGCAGCCACGTTCCTATCAAATCCAAATTCATATTCATCGGTGCCTGGGAAACATAAGTCTCTACAGTATCTTCATGATCCCATTGAGGAGATCGGTTTGCATATGAGGGTTGAAGCTTCCTTCATCAGTTTTGATCACCATCTTCATCATTTCTAATACCACGCCGGTTGCGGATCTTCTTCATTTCAGCACGCCCCCGTCGATATCTTCATCCAATACATCCATTACATCGACAGCTCTGGCAATAAAAATGATTGAGTATCGTTTACTTTGAAGAGTGTAGGCAACATGTTGCACTGCATGTAAAGCCTACTCCAGCTTCATGATGGCTTCTGATGCTTCATTTTCGTAATCGGGTGCTCGTAATGGTGGTATGATCCCATGATAAT